AAATGGAAGTTGGCACATGTTGTGCTTGTGTTGGTCTTGAGGACCCTGCAGCAGAGGGAAGACCGGAAGGCTGTCGAAGGGTTGGAACATCCGAATCCTTTTCCGGGCAAAAACTGTATTGCGGAAGGTACACCTCCTCTGTTGAGAGCGGGTGTTGGTGGGGATGTGATTTGTGATGCAAAAAAAACACTGTTTTACTTGAGCACCCCTTCTGCTTCTTTTTGGGGCTAGGGAATAAGGTCGGCAAAGCTTTAATGTAGTTTGTACACTTTGATTAATCGGATACCGACATTATATCGAAGCGGGCGCAGGACGCGTGGAAAAGAATCAACAGGGCTTGTTGGATATCCGCGCGCATTTTGGGGCTGTCAGGAAAACCAAACGGAAGCCACGTAAGGGGTTTCTCTAGGTTGAGACAAGCCCAAGGCAGAGGTTCCACAAAGCTTCTGGGAGAGTGTGAAAATGGCGGGGCTTCTCAAGATCGGGGCCCCAAAATGAGGTTCTTCCTTTGGCACCGGAAATACCAAGCAACAAAAGAGAACTCCTTGGGCCGGAGTTGGCGTGGTTCAGACTTGTGACCTGTGGCCCTTGCAGCAGCTGGAACAAACCGCGAGAGGCGTCAACTCAATGGGCAGATCAGATATCAGCTCACCAACGCAGGGTTTTTCGGGGCGGAATTCCGGGCTCCCAAAATAAATTTTAGCAGTTCAGTGGTTGGATTTCCCACTAAACCCCAATAAGCAAACATGTAAAAAATGTGTCCCAACAACAACCATGTTAAAGGGTTTGCTCTCTACTCAAAGACTCACGGTCTGGCGACCCACGCTCAAGTCTTAGGGGCCTTTCGGATTTCGGGGTGGGTCCCGGCACGTGGTCTCCCTGGCGAAAGAGAGCACCAGCCAACTCACGACGACTCTCTGCCGCAACAACCAAAAAAAACAAAGACGGATGTGTCTTTCTTCATCTTGGTTGCTGCTGACCCCCCTGCAAATCGTTTTCATTTTCTGGGTGTTTTCGTGAAAAAAACCCTTCTTGTTTTCGTGTTTTCACGGATCGAACGAAACGATGATCAGCTTCAAGCATCTGGCGACTCTGTGGTCTCCCTTTAAATCCAATGTCTCTTGCGAGATCTATTCACTGCTGATGATCAGGTTCCACTTGTTCCAACACTGTCCGTAGTCACAGGCCAAAAAAAATACCCTCAAAAATGCACACCTAGCGATTGGGGCATTAACCACCAAAACAGAGATCCTTACATTATACACCTGAACAGGGTTGTGGGATCAAGGGGTTTATCCCCACTTCTGTGATACAAGGGAATCTCCCCCTTTTACTGGGGGTTAGTCTTTGGAAAGCCCTTTCTGCTGTATCGCAGAAGTGGTCATTTCCAACAGCCCTGCACCTGAACATTGCAACTTGTAAATGGTGGTTTCCCCACCTCGGCTCAAATATCTTTATGTCTGATCCCCACATTTGGCTCAAATTTAAGCCACCAGGAATTGGACCGCAGGTAGTCCTTGGTTCCATTTACCAGGGCAAGCCATTTTGGGTACCTATTTTTTTGACCCACAGCCATTTAGTGAACCTTGTGTGAAGCAAAGAAACGCGACTGAGGGGTCTTGAAAAACGATTTTCCTGTTGGACCTTTTGGTGGGTTCCACGGCAGCGATCCCACGCGAATCTCCGGGCATGCGCCTTCTTAATGGTCCTGTCATCCGCATCCTTGGGCACTCCAAGGATATCGTAGTAGGACTTTGCATTCACCTCAGCCCAGCGAGGACTTGCACCCGAGAGTCACATCACCCAACATCGCGAAAGGAAACTCACCTTGGGTCCCAAAGGTGATGGGCCATATGGGCCATTTGAAAACAAAACATAGAGGGGCCATTCGGATTTTTCTTAAGAGAACCCGCAAGTGGCCCCGCCCAAGTCAAGCAAAAGGTTTGAAGTTGGATCCCAACCATCAAGCGGATCAAGAGATTTGCGGAGGGAATCTGACAAATCCCCGAACGCGAAACACATATATGGGTTGTCGATTTTTTGAGGGTGCCTGCTTTTTTGGGTGGTTCCAAAGGGGCACACCCGTATGGGTTTGTGAACCACAAAAGAAAAAGAGTCTCCTGTGAAATCAAAGGGTATCATATCCGGTAGACGCCTGGCTGGTTTGCCGCAGGGCTGGCAACGCGCAAGACCCACCCTAATGAAGATCTAAGCCAGCCTAAACTCCCCGCAACTTCAGCCAGCCCCAAGCAACTCCCGACTTCAGAGCGCCAATAGTCAACCCCCGGGCCAATTAAGGCTGATGCTAGGGATGCGGCAAGCCAACCAACCAACCAACCATCCAACCAACCAACCGACCAGCCAACCAACCCAATCCTAATAGCAAAAAACCGCCAAATAACAAACACCGGATCCACAATATCCCCCCCAAAAAAAGGTACCCAGGAGCCATATGCAGTACTTGGACCCGCTGGGCTTACAGTCGAAACAGATCACAGTTGCGCGTCTCTCAGAGCCTCTATGCGTGGCGCAGGTTTGCAAAAAGGAAGACGCATGTGCGTGTGTGGCTTTTGCCAGCGCGACCAAACTTCTTGGGCTCTGAACCAAAAGGGACAAAGGGCCTCGCCTTTTCAAGGCCCAAAGCAAGTAGCCTTCCCTTTCCCGAGTTGGCCGTCAAATGGCCCCAGTTTCAGCACGAACAACCACCTCTGAAAGCATCGGACGGCCCAGGGGACCTGCAAATTCACATAGAACCCTGTCTAGGTCCTCCAGAAGAGAGGTTAGAATAAGGGTACCCTTTTTTCTGTAGTCTACTTTAGTAGGGGAACCCTCCCTCAAAAAAGGTAAAAGGGCACTACTGGGGGACCTAGACCTGCCGCGAAGGGAAATCAAGGATCAATCGGAATCAAAACTTAACCCTGGCGGAGTCTTGCTGGGGGTGTTGCACCAAAGGATAATCCGTGCTTCCTATCTCAAAGAAACCTCTTTGGTTCGTCCTGTTTGTCTAGTCCACTAAGGCATCAATCTGTTGCAAGTCGGCTTTTCAGTGATTCACTTCCCAGAACCAGAACCCCTGGCTGCAAAGGTTGCGGGCAAGATCTCCCAAGTTGTCAATTCATCCACTCTGACATGCTGAAACATGGGGCAGCACTGACGACTAAGATTCAGACCCCCAATCTCGGAATACCATGTTTACTGTTTTCGGGAGGGGAGGGGGTCTTTCCCTATAACTGTTTTTTTCTCAGACCCCAAATATCCTTACTTCAACAGACCTTGTTCGGCTTCCCTGCAATTAAATGATACCCAAGCGGTTTCAAACTAGACTGGCCCCAAGCAAAGTCCAAACCATTTATTGAGCAATCCTCGAAATTAATGCTGCGGCTGGCACACTGACTTTCCTCCCCAAGGCCTCCATTTGCTTAAGCCCCCTGGACAAAAAAATATGAATGTCCAGTAGTGATCGATTCCTTCTAAAACCAACAGGGGAAAATACAAAAAGGTTCTTAAACAAATGGAAGAAGAAGCAACTAGAGTCCAGGAAAAAAACAACTCGGAAAGTGCGCTACACCCTGCAGCTTCTCACCGGTTTTCGAGCCGGAGTAAATTTGGGCCCCTGGCAAGGACAAGGCAAAGGGCCAGTACTACCGGCAGCTCCTTGAGTGAAAAAGGATCTGTTTTTGCTTTCGTCCTTTTTTGGAGTTGGTACCCCCTTTGTTGGTGGGTTTTTTGAGGGAAGCCACAAGGAAAGCCCACAGATTTGGTTTGGTGGGTTTTGAAGGGGGGACAAAAGGCCCTCACCCACCATTTTCCCTGGGTTCGCGAATTAAAAGATGACACACCCATCTACCCTCTCCAAGAATGGAAGCTGACAATACGTACGAGCCATTTGGTATTGTCCCCTGTTGGAAACATGTTTTTGGTGTTTTTGTTGTTGTTGTTTTTTTTTTCAGGGGTGTTAAATAAAATTGAGGTCGCACAAGGTAAGATCCATGCAAACCTGGATACCACAAAAGCTACGTACAGGGCCCCCAAACTACTCGGGAGCAGGTGGTTCAAGGGGCAAACTACTTAGGTTTCATGTCTGAGAGTTATTGCTTTGTGCAGATCATATGCCAAACAACTAAAGGGGTAAAGATTGGACACTGCCCCTACTGAACTCAGCTGTCTAAAGGACCTCTCTGGGAGCTCATGACTCATGATTTTTTAGCGATTGAAACTCGGTTGCTTTCTGCTCCCCTGCCAAAAGTTTAACTTTTAGCGGTTTCGTGGAAAACCCATTCGTTGGCAAAAAGCTGTTCAGTCCTAACAGCCCTTGGCAAAATGCCGCAAAGAAACTAATTGTAGGAGGGTGCTGGACGACGACAAATTCCTTTTGGGAAGCTTCCGGAAGCTCCCCCCGGAACCGCTGCTATTGGAAGGAGGGCATCAGCTCCCGGCGGATTTGGAGCCCGGCGGATTGGAAGCTAGCGCTTGGTTTCTCTCATTTAGCCAAAGGAACCCGGGGGGCCAGTTTTCCGGTTGTTGGGTTACCCGAATCTCGGATGTAAACTACCTATTATTTTGATTTATATTTTTTTACTGGGTTACCCAAATCTCGGATGTAGAATACGGGCGAACTAGTTGCACACATGTTTCTATCGACATGACTGAATTTGTTGTTGAAATGATGGGAACCCCGGATTCATCCGCATGCTAGTGGATGTCACCCGTACAAGTCATGGATTCCCACCAAAAAGGAAACAGCCCTTAATCATAAATGAATCGGGTTGTTTTGCTTAGTCCGGGGTTAGTTTTACCCAATTTACATTCAAGTTCTTAAAGCCTAACCCAAACCAGAAGCTGGCTTAAGAATCAAAGTGCACTTTGCGGAGACACGATTCGGTTGAACTGGGTTTGGAAGAAAGACCCTGCTTCATGACCCTTTCAAAACGGGGCCATTACCCTAAATAATGGGGTCTTGGACCTATTTTTACAGGGTCAAGGAGAGCGCTTTGTTGAATTTTGCTAGCTCTCAACTTTTAGCGGGATAGAAGATCCATGTCAGACGTTTCGAGCTAAAGAAAGGCGTGTCTCGCTCATTCAAGCAGCAGGACCAACACTCCAGCAAAGCAAGTCAGTCCAGGGTTCCGGTTCGAGAATGCCAAGTCTCGGCTTGCCGACACCAACGTGGGTCTGTTTGTAGGGAACCCCTTCTTGGCGGGGTTTTCACAGGACAACTTGTAGGGAACCCCTTCTTGGTTGGGTTTTCACTGGAAAACCCCGGAGGAAAACCACCGTGTTGGGGGGGCCCAGAAAGAACAAAAAAAAAACAACTCACCCATGGTGGTCCTTCGTTTCGCTCCAGGTCTTCGGGATTAGGAATCCGGGAAACCCGGCGGTAGGCCTGGCTATGCGTTTGGTTACCCGAAGGAGTCCTCAGAAATGTGTCCTCTGTGGATGGACGAAATCCATTTCGCACCGCTTTAAAAACACTTGTTTGTTGGCATTTGCAGGGGAGGCATCGTAGAAACCAGGCTTTCTGACCGGTGGTGCGAATTGGATTGCGCAACCATCCACAGTATGATTCTCTGCAAGCGGGCAGACATCATATACCCGGAGTCTCCATGACCCTTTAGAAATAGGTCCATGACCTCATTAGCTAAGGTATTGACCCAATTTTCTATTAAGGGTCATGGAGACACTAGGTACTTTTCCCCGTAGTCGCCAAGCGGTGTGCCGAAACGAAACAAATTCGGTCCTGGAAGGCGCCCGCGCCCATGTTGCGGAACTTCCGCGCGTTTTCGCGCGATTTCGAAAGGTCGAAACTGAACGGGATATTGCCTGGGCCCCCCCTGGGGAAATCTCTGAAAACTCGAACTGAACATTTGGTCACACTCGGGGTTTTCAGAGACTCTGGCCTAAAACTTGGAATCTCCTTTTTGCGTTTTGGTCCTGCCTTTGGGGCCAACTCTGGGACGCGTTGCTTGCTTCTTTCTGGTGCGTTCTGTTGTCCATCTTGATTTCTGGGTGGTGGCTGCTGTCCTTATGCCCTTTTTGGCGCTCGTTTCAAAACGAGTCGAATCTGCGTGCCCTAGATCTAGACATCTTGAGCCGCTGTGTAACGGAGATCAGTAAACCCCCCCACGAGTCGCTGAGGGTAGAAAATTTGGGCAGGACAACCAGGTCCTCCAGTAGAGAGGTTAGAAAAGGGTACCCAACTTTTTTCTGCTTTGTCTATTTTAGTGGGGGAACCCTCCCAACCAAAAAAGGAACGGAAAAAGGGCACTACTGGGGGACCTCAACAAGGAAAGGGCCCAAGAGCAAGTGTCCACCCTGGTGCTTTGGTCATCTTTTCAGGGCCCGCAGCAACCCTGCGAACTCTTCACTTCCTGAGTTCACTGGCCCGAAGAAAAAACAAAACGTCCAGACTTTGGTTATTTGCCACAAACATGGTCTGCCCACAGTGACAAAGCCCAGGATTCCTATTCTCTCCCTCGAACCCGAAGACGGGGCCCCCAAAACGGTGGGTTTTCCTCTGGATGTTCCTATGAAAACCAACCAAAAAGGGGGTTTCCTGCAAAAGCGTCAGACGCACATTGGTGTCGACAAGCCGAGACTTGGCAGGATGCCAACAATAATCTGGCCACACCAAGAGGTCATGGATTCCCTGTGCCTTGCCGAGCATTGAGCCCCAATCTCTCACGGGCTTCCAGCTACGGTTGGGGGGGTGAACCAGCTTTTGTTGTTCCTAGCTTCCAGTTGCCTTTGCGCCGCCTGGAACAACAAATGTGTCCAGTAGTGATAGATTCCCTGTAAAACCAACAAGGGAAAACGCCAAGTATTCTTAGGCAAGTGAAAGCTAGGTGGCTTGAGGTCTATGCACTGGGCGATGAGTCGAGTCGAAACTTCGGTCTGAACTTTGAGTCCCCGATTTGGCTGAATTCCTTTTTCTTGCTGGTTTTCAGCAGGGAAGCAGGGAATGAATCCAACTGAGGGTTTCCTTTATGGGAATCCCGAAACGGTTCATTCCCACAACCCAAGCACCAGCAAGTCTTTCAAGTGCGTGACTGGGGTGAAAGGAAACCGGGGTCAATGTGGGTAGTTTTGATGGGAACCTTTCGGTGGATACCGTGTGCATGGGTGGATTTACTGTATATGCAACCGTAGCCACCCGATTTGCAAGCCAAAGGAAAATCCCATTGGATCGCCCCCCTGCTCACAACAAAAAAGAGTTCGTGCACTGCGTGGCCATTTGGGCGCAAAGCCCGGTGACTATCGGGTCTACCCAAATGGCGATAAAGGTTTATTAATGTTTATTATAGGCCTGGCTATAGTCCTTGGTGAACCACTTAGGAGAATCAACCAGGCAGCCCCCTTCCAAGATGGCCGATGGGGGTCTCGGTTTTGGGGCTGACATGGTCCACATGGGTTGACATGCTAGGTCCTCCAGTAGAGAGGTTAGAATAAGGGTACCCCTTTTTCTGTAGTCTATTGTAGGGGAACCCTCCCCCCAAAAGGTTAAACGGTAAACGGGCATTACTGGGGCAGTGACGCTCTGCCCCCTTTTTCTCCTCACCTCGTGCCAGCTTCCGGAGGCGGATCATTGTCTTGCCCACGTGGCCCTGCGAATTTTGGTCGGTCAAGCCCAAGGGACGGACCCATTTCACCTCAACTATGCGCAGAGGGTCCCTTGGTACTTCATGAGGATGGCCTAAACGGGGAGTAAAAAGGGGTCGTTCAGTACCTCCTTAGAAGGTACCTACTTGGACCCTCTGGGATGCTGGACACTTCAGAATGTAAAGCAGGGTTTTTTGGCCAAGGTTTGACGCAAATAATATCGTTTGCCGAAGGACGTGGGAGAATCGGCTGGGCCCAACTGGATTTTCGGCATCTGGGGTGGGCCCCACATGTTCCGAAACAAACTACAAACAACTATGACTTTGTCACTTGTAATACCGTGGATGGACGAAATCCGTTCGCACCACTTGAACCCTGAGAAACCAAAGGCTTGTTGGTATTTGCAGGTAATCATCAGAAACCAGGGTTTGTGAGGTGGTGCGGGATTTCGGCTATCCGCAGTATGTCTCTTTTGCCCCGAAACAAGACTGCATGACCGTCAGCTTCCCCAATCGTCCGCCTTTTGACATCGCCCCAAGAAGAAACTGGGGGGAAGTTCCGGTCTTGAAGGCACGGTATCTTTCGTTGGGGATGTCGGTAGGCCACCCCTAAGGAAGCAATCCATACTTTCAGTTTGCCTGTTTTTGGAGAGGGCGTCCCTTCAACATCAACCCACCAAATGGTGGTTTGCCTGCTTCCCGTGGCCGTGTTTTTGTGTTCAACACATAAGACAACTTGCTGGTGCTCAGTAGCGAATGAGAAATGGAATGACCCGTAAAAACCATCCAACTGGTGGTTTCCTTTGAGGAAATTTCTGGGTGCATTCCCTCGTTCCTTAGTTGTCGCACCACCAAGACAAAGTCCAAATGAGGCGGTTAAACCCCATATTCATCCACCTCAGTTTATTCATAGGGGGTGAATTCCCCTCCAAAGAACGTGAACCCCAGAAATCCAAAGACCGAGCACAGGAGCCAAAGCAGCCAAGACGCTTTGTCTTGGGATCAGCTCTTGTGGGGGGAAGCCACCCAAGGGGACACGGCTGCCGGAAGAACGAGCCCTTCTTGGGCGGAAGTATCTCTGGCCGGCTTTCCAGGCCGAGGCGGGAGACGTTAGGTCCTCCAGTAGAGAGGTTAGAATACCTTCTTTTGTTTCTGTAATCAATTTTAGTAGGGGACCCTCCCCAAAAAAAAAGAAGCGGTAAAGGGGCACACTGGCAAACCTAGTTGGGATCCGAACACTGACCAGAGCCACAGACGCGCAGCCTCGCTATTTGAGCGCCACGATGGCACAGGCTGCACATCCGAGGCGCCCTCGATGGCCTGAAGCATCAGCTCCTTGATGTCTAGCTCGGTCGGTCAGAGAGCCCATCGGGCCGTGTCCCTAGCTCCCTCCGGGCACCACAACAAGGGCAGGCCTTCGCGGTCAAGCAGTAAACGATTGGCAAGTAGTCGCGCCCCTTACACGAAGTTTTCGCCCACAGGGCGCCATGATTTCTCATGGGCGGAGGGCACCTTTTAAACCAAATTCCCTCCCACCCTTATATTTTCTCCAGCGTGCCCTCCTTTGAGCCTTTTGCTTGGGTCGTGGATGTCGGAAAACCACCCTCCAAAAGAGGAAAACGGGCACCAGTGGTCTGGGTTCAGAGACCCCTGCCAGGAATTTAGTGAACCTCAAACTGTCAACTTGGTCCTCCAGCAGAGAGGGTACCAACTTTTTCAGGACGTCTACTTTAGTAGGGGAACCCTCCCCAAAAAAATGAGTGAGAAAGGGCACTACTGGGGACCTAGTCAAAGTGATGTCATGTCTCAAAGGCCTCCAAACGGACTTCTTCCGACTTCACGGGCGTTCTTCGAAGGGGCGCATTGAATTCGGTAATCAAGACCTGGTCATAGGTGTCCTTTTTGGAAATCAGATGACCCTGGTCATTGAACCACCAGGCAAACCAGGGCCTATGTTTCAAGCAAAACAACCAAAAAGGACAACCAAAAAGGACACCTGGTATTGTTGACGGCCTACCAAAAAAGACTCGCGCAAGCGAGGCGGTTTTTGCTTCTGGGAATTGGACCGACGCCCGTCAACCCGCGTAATGGCGAAAGCTTCTGGAAGTCCAATCCAATGTTCCATGCCTTTTGGGACGGTTTCTTTGCACCAAGTCTTTTCAAGGATTATTTTGATAAACTCGCATTTTGCTGGGTTGATGAGATCAGAAGAAAATCTTTATGCAGAGGGTAGCGGCACCCTTGCCTGTGGTTTTGAAGTTGCAAACCACAAGGAAACACATTCTGGCGTCCCCTTTCAGACAAACGCATACCAGCCCAGCCCCCCCATTGGCCCCCCATTGGCTGTGGTGAATGGTTAAAGTGGCCTCCTGGTGGCTAAAAATTGACATCCATTGGGGCCTGGTAGTCTTTGAGCTGTGGAGAAAGCAAACAACTTGGTTGCTGCAACGACCCGCCTGCAAAAACATGTTCACCTTTTGGGGGTTGAGTGGAAAACACCTGTATTTCCCAAAAAGTTAAAGTCTAAAGATCCAACCCAATAGCAGTCAAGAAAACGGGTGGTTTGGAGCCTTTGGAGGTTTCGGGGGTTTCCCATTTACTGTAGGGCTTCAAATTGTCAAATCCAAGCCAATCCCAAGCGATTCCACCAAGACTCTCGGTTACCATCCGACCCACTACCGTCCCGAAAGCACCAAGAGGACCAGCAGAGCTATGCTTCATTGGCCATCTATTTCCGATCCCTCCAACCAGCCAACCAGCCAACCACAACACCAAATCCAACCCAACAATTACCAAAGCCCACCACCCCACCTGAAAAAGCAAAACCACTTTCACCGGCCAGCTTGCTTGGGGTTGCTTACAACCAACCACTTTCACCGGCCTGCTTGGCTTTGCTTCGCTTCGCTTTGCTTCGCTTCGGCTCGGGTTGCCACGGGGGTTTCGGTTCGAGGCCCGCCTGCTCCGCCGCCAATGCCTCCTGGGCCTCGCTCCGCTCCAGGCCTTCAGCGTCGCACCTCGCCCCAAGACCAAAGGCCGCTCCGACGCCCCGCAAGCCACGCACAGAGGGCTGTGGGAAGCGGAAGCTTTTTCTTTGCGCAAGCCACGCGGAAAAAAAAAGAGAAGAAGAACAAAAAAGGGATGGGTCTGCCTGCGTTTTTTTCCTCCAGTTTTTTTCATGGGTCCGTGCTTGCGGTGTTTCTAATGGGTGGGGTTGAAGGGAAACTAAGATCATGTCTGTCTGCCATTGCTTTGTTGGGTGGGTTTAACGGGAAACCAAAAACATGTGGGTCTGTCACCTTTGTTTGTTGGTACCTCCTCTCTTTTTTGCGGTATAGAAGGGACACGGTTTGGCAATTTTGGGGGCTCACCTAAAAACCGGCATGTCCGTGGGGTACTTTATGTACGGCTTTTTGAGGGGGGTCCAGCTTTTCCCATTGTAATATTCAGCGAGCAGATGATGTGCTTGTAGATTTAATGGCGGTACGATGAATGCAACCCAGTTGGATGCAACTCAACTATTGCAAGCGGCTTCACCTTTAAAGCCAGAACATGTCGAAACGTTACCTACTTGGCCCGACAGAGTACACAAAATATGAGGCTGTCAGATTCAGGCACGTATGTTGTCTGATTGTTTTGTTTATGTTAGCATAGTTCTGGAGGAGAACCCGACAATGATGAGCATGGGCAAAAATGGGGACCTCTGTAAATCGCCGCAAATGTGGTTCGTCCTGTTGCAAAATTTCGAGCATCCATACCATTGAGTGAGTGATTCCTGTAGTGAAAGAGGGTATAACCTACCCCCTACTCCAAATACCCACTCTTCCTAGAGTATTTTGTGGAAGACCTGGCTTTTCAAGGTAAACACCTCCTTTTCTAGTAGAGGGTCCACATGATACCCCAAAAAAAGTGGGTATTTGGAGGCGTGGCTCATAACTTGCAGGACCTACCTCCCATCGCAATTTTCTGCACTTTCAGGGCCGAGTTATCCGCTTCAGTCGGCCTCCAACCACTCCGAGTCCCCAATTGCCCTGCGAAAAACGGGCCGGCAGGACCATTCCACCCACGTGTGAACCGTGGCTAAAGTTATATGCGCAAGAACTCAAGCTCTGGCAGCCTAACGGGTAAGTGTTTCCATGCTCATATTCAAGAGCATACCAGCAAATCGTCCATTCAGTGTGCAAAACACACAAAAGGCCAACGAAGGCGCAGTTGCGGAAACTCACCCAACTAGCCAACCACTTGAAATAGTATTGCCCCGGTATCACAGACACATGCCCTGCAAACCCAATACAGAACAACCACAACCATGAACCAAGGCCTTAACGCTTGAAGTGAAGAGCACTCCTAGTTTCCTTCGCGCGGTTTCGAGCATTGCACGGGTTTCGCCTCTGCAGCACGCGCTGCAGACGCTCCTCGTCGGTCAGCTCCTCCGCACGGTTCAGTCCGTTGGCTCAAGGAATAAGGGGCTCCGTTCTTCGAACCCTCAACCCTCCCCCAAAAAAGGGGAGAGAGGGGCACTACTGGAAAACCTAACCCTCAACAGGAAGTGAGGGTCAATTGATCAGAGGTCAACATTAGGAACCCCTTCTGGTTGGTCAACAGCCCTGGGGGTTGATGACTACCGGCCATCTTCCTTCCAGTCCTGAAAGGGCAGTTCGCTTGGTTGCAGCCAATGGAGCGCTGGATAGGGAACCCATATTTACCTTAAACGGAAACGACCGCAGCGCCCTTTTGATTCTTTACATGCGGTCAACAGTACTCATTTTTGAAGAGGCCATGGGACACTTAGTGATTTGCCCTGGTTTGTGAGAAAAAATGGTCAGTCCGTGTCATTCCCAAATGGACCAAGACTGCGATTCTGGTTCACCTCTTTGAAATACCATGGCTTGACCAAGAATTCGTTGCCTTTCACACAGCCCTCCCTATATTTCCTCCTCAAACATCACCCCAGCAAAAGGAACATCAGCAACAACTGCGGCAAACACTGGCGTCTAAAAGTGCGGGAACATAGCCCCTGTTCTAAGGCTCACAAACATGTGTTGCTGATAAATGAAGAAAAGGGGTTGTTCAGATTTTCGAGATTCTTGCGACACTAGGAGGCAACAATCATCAAAACAAGCGCAGAACAGGCCCGTCCCCCGCCACCCAGGGTTCCAAACGTCCTTAGCTGTCCAAACTGCTCGTTTTGGAACAACCCCTTGCCCAGGACAAATGCGAGTGCTTAATTTCACCCGAAATTCGTTGGAGCCTGTTGGTCGATATAACGACAGGAAACCTATCGCTCGTGGTACTTCCCCCATGCATCGCAGGTCTGTGCTTCCTTCCAGTTGGTTAAGACCCCTGAAGAAAAAAACATATTTCAAGTAGTGATAAATTCATTTTAAAACAAGGAAAACACAATATCTAAACAAATAATTAAAACAAAGATGATAATAATGATAATAATAATAATGATAAACTCAAGCAAATGGAAGCTTCTCGTGGTTGTCCTGACGATCACTTGAAAGCAGAAACCAGTCCTAGGTCCCAAGCTCAGAGCCCCAACAAAACACGAAAAGCACACAACAAACAAAAGCATGAAACAACAGGAAAAAAACAGAAAGCAACGGGTGTCAAGGTACAACCATTTGTTCCCAGGTGTTCCCCACCCACGCTTCCCAAACCCCGCCTTGGCCCCGTAGCCAGCCGTCCCCGGCGTCGAAGAAGACGCCGACGCGGGCGCAGGCTTGTCCGCCTGACACACACACACGTCGGAGCGATCAATTTTAAGACACTCTCTCACATTCGAAATGGACCAAGACCATGACTAGAACCTCCAGCAGAGAGGTTAGAATAAGTTGGTACCAACTTTTTTCAGGACGTCGATTTTAGTAGGGGAACCTTCTCAACCAAAAAGGGGTGAGAAAGGGCACCCAGCTGGGGGACCTAGATGATTCAGGGGAATCGACTCGTTTGGTGGGGTTTCTCAGGTGCAGTTGTTCGGTGGGGCCCTTGCTGATGTCCCTGATGAAAAGCACTGGGCAGTTGCAGCTGCCTGGTTTTAGGCGGGGGCTGTATATTCTGTGGGGCAGAGAAACTTCGGTATCAGCTTACCCAGAGGGTCCAAGTACCTTCTAAGGAGGTAGTTAGGCCCCTTTTTACCCCCCCAAGAGCCATTTTCATGAAGCACTTGGACCCTCTGGGTTCTATTGGTGGTATGTAAACATTGGTGGTATGTAAACATCCATACTGTTACCGTGGATGGTTGCGAAATCCGAGACCGCACCACGAAATGAAACCATAAGGCTTGTTGGTATTCAGGGGAATCAAATCATTCCAGGGTTTCTTAGGTGGTGCACAAGTGCGTCCATCCACGGTATTCAGAGACTCTCTCATCAAGGCATGTTCCAGAGCAGACTAGAATGGGGTTGCAGGGTCACGTAACACCAAACGAAAGCCACAATCGTGGAAGAATGCTAGCACTGTGGATGGCCGAAATCCTGCATCACCCAAGAAACCCTAGAATGATGATTCGCCTGTAAATCCAACAAGCAATGGTTTCCCATGGTTTCAAAGTGCTGCGAACGGATTTCGTCCATCGACAGTAGTTGTTGATAGCCGTTCACCCGACCAAAGGCAGCTGAGTTAGGATGGGTTCTGGACTTCAGAGAGCTCGAGGCCTCCCGACAGTTCTGTCGGACGGCCTCAATGGGTTGGTGTCCTCGCCCACGATTTACATGTCAAGTTGACTCCGGGGTCTTCGGCCCTCTCAGGTGCCGAAAAGTCAATTTATCTGAACCACGCCGATTTAAACCGCCCCGAAGACTTAAGGATTGATCGGGAAATTGGCGCAAAACCATATGCAACAACTCAGCCAATACCGTTCCTTGCGCTTCTGTGTTTCTGTTGGTAGGGCGTTTCCAGGACGGGGAGCTCCCAATGGCAACGAAATGTTCGCAGATTTCCCCAGAAATATTTAAACAAGTGAACCATGTACCGCCAGCAACAAGAACCTTGGCAAATTGCGGTAAGTGTTTGGGGTTCCGAACTTGTTTGCCTACTTGCTCTGCATTTTGGGACATCCGCTTAGGGGTCTGACCTCTGCGTGGTCCGGGGACTAACTTCATGTCCCTCCAAGCACTGGTCATTTGCAGCTGTGCGTGTTAGGCGGAGGTTGTATACCGCGTAAAGGGACATCTGCTGTATAAGCTTATATTGGTAGTATGTAAACATCCATTGCTTCACCTGGAAACGCCGGCCTTGGGGAGCTTTTGAATGCCCCGTTGTGCTCTGGGGGTCCTTTTCCAATCCAGGCAGCATCCAGCTGTGCTACCACACCCCAAATGAGTTGCGACACGTGAGGCCTGATGACCGTCCGAGTTGGAATCATTCTCAAAACCCTGGAACGCAATTGTTGAAACAAATGAGACAGGAACGTACAGGAACATGCTCCCGAAACAAGAACATAAGCACTCTTTGTGCTGAGGGCTGCGAACAGACCTGTTGAGCCAACCCTCAACGCAAAAGGACACAACATTTCACCTGGCAAACATGTGATTTAGTGCAATGTGCAAATTTATGGCGACACTCTCTGCGCAATCATTGTGGCAACTTCTGTCATCACTTCGATTGGCGTCCCGCTTTGCTGGCCGAACAACCTCGAAACAAAAAAGAAAAGAAAAAGGAACAACACAACACGAGAAAGACAACAACAGAAGGGAAACAACGGACAGAAAAAAACAAAAACAAACAAAACACAAAAACAGAAAAAAGAAAAAGGAAAAAAAAGGAAAAAAAGAAGAAAAGAATAATAAAACAAAAACAACGATTGGTGGATTCCCTTGGCTTCCCGGGTTTCGCCGGCCTCGGATTTCGGCGGCTCCGCGTCCGGCGCGTCCGAACCTTCCTGGCACACTCCATCCACCTCTTGCCCGGCAACCGTTGGGAATGGACGCCAGGGAGGACTAGAGACGAGTGAGCTTGAATTCGGACGATTGCTGGTCAACCAATATGGATGAGGCCAATTTCCCCCTCCCCCCAAGTAAAAACAATCTTCAAAGAACACCTGTAGATGGTCGAACATCACTTCGCGCCAGGCAGATGATTTGTGATCAGTCAACATCCCGCCAGTATGCTTATGAACTCACCAATCTCAAAGGGTCCCATAGCACTCAGGAAGGTCGCGGCCCTCATCTATCAAGTCGCTATAAGTCCCAAAGTGGCGTTTCAATCAGGTTCCCTCGAATTGGTGGTTTGGATTGGTGGTCTGCAAGTGTTCCGGGGTGGGGCGGGGCCCTGAGTTACCCCTCTAAGGAGCCACTGGTTCAACTCCCCAAACCGCCAATCCAAGCCAGCAGTTCGGGGTTACCAGTTTCAGCGAACAAAGGAGGCACCAAAACAATGGCTTGCAGCCCCTGACCAAAACACGCCCTTTAACCTTTGGGATCAGACACCCGTTGCGTTGCCTCCTTGTGAGCTTATTTCTATGGATATGTGAGGGGGGGGCACCTTCTGTGATATGTCCATGTGAGTGGGTGAGCGCACCTGACAAAAGAGCCGCCAATATATATATATATATATACGTTGCTTTGGCATTCCTTGCTTTGGCTTTGCCGGCTGTTGCCTTTCCTTCCCTTGTGTTTCTCTTCAAGCAATCGCCCAAAATCAGAGGAATGGATGGTTCCTGAACAGAAGGATAGCTGAATAGTCACCACGTTCCAGATAAAGATGAGCCACATGTTTATTGAGAGGGCGCTCCAGAGCGTGAGGTTTCAACCATGCGTGCTCATGTTTGCGTGCTAGACAAACTTATGGTAATCAGCACCCGAGCTGCCGTGTTTCGTAGGCACACATGGCTGCAGTCCATCTTTCCTTGGACATGGTCTCCCGGTCACCGACATTGACATTGCCAAAGGCCTTTTTCTTCTTCTTCTTCTTCTTCTTCATCTTTACAGCCGCTCCAACTTCCCCGACCATGTGTTCTCAAAGATCACGCCTTGACGTCGCGCGAGAGCTGCTTGCCGGCATACCGCAGGCGATGACACGCAGAAACGATACAGTATGACCTATAATAGGCAAAAGGCAAGCTGGAAGCTGGCACTGCCCACCAGTTATGCTTGGAGACGCTATTCAACTGTCCCATCGCCTTTTCAGTGCCCCTTTGGGAAGCCAACATTGTGCGCTTGGGACGCAGGTAGGTAACAAAACCGAGCAAAAACAGCATCGCATCAACTTAGGTGCTTCACGTTGTTGCCAGTTGTGACACATCCGAATCCTTTTCCGGGACCTTGCACACTGCGATCGGACGCTCAAGTCATTCGCAGCTGATAGAAGTCCCCTTGGTGATAACCAGAATGAACCTTCTTCATGCAGCTGTGGCCCAACTCTCAACCGCTTCAAAGAAGCGCTTTCCGTCATCAACCGGGGTGAGGCTGGAGCCCTTTGGGGTGGGGTTCAATCAATTTATCCACTTCACTTGGAACCCCGGACAATGGCTCGGATCACTTTCTCGGGCGAACCAGGAAGGTTGTGGTTTCAAAGCGCCACTGGAAGCGATGACACAGGGGGGGGGGAGCGTGGGGCTGGTCGGCCTGAGTTACAGAATTTCGCGCCAGAAAAAAGCGGCTAAAATTTGGGTGTCTTTTCCATCTGTCCGGGAATGGCTCGCTCGCTGCATGTTTGTGCAAAAACCTGCGTTTTAGCAGGCTTTTGCAAGGTGCTTTCTGCGTTGAGCTGGCTCGTTTTGTGTTTTTTTTTTGCCTTTTCTGAGTCAAAAAAAAACGGCTATTTCTCCGCTTCTGCTTGCTTGCTTCCTGCTTGCGTGTTTCGCGCTTGGACCTGCCTCGGGGATGCTGGGGGCCGAGGATGCTGGGGATGCTGATGCTTGGGCTTCATCTTTTGTTCGAGGAGCCTGTGTCGAGGTGCTCCTTTGGACTGATTCGAGCTGTTTTCTGGCGTGTCCACGGATCCTTTTTTCGTGCGAGCAATCGCACGAAAAACACGGTTAAATTTTAGGCGTCTTTTTTGGATGCCTTTGGCGCTGCGGGCGCTCGCTTCTTCAGTAGGTAACTTTGGAGTCTGTCGCCGTTCAGTATTTTAGTCGTGCTTTCCATTCGTTTCCTACAAACAAGAGGCTATTGAAAGGAGTGGGCGAGGCCATCACCTGTTGGAACATCATACACACTGATTGCATCCGCGCAAGCTCTGTTCGTCGCAGAGAGACCCCCTGTCGTTGCTGATATGCCGGCAATTTTCAGCGGGGCAGTTTTCGTTGGGCCAATGTGCTGGCTGGGCATTTCGGGTGTGTGACACAGCGACAAAGCAGGCACCCATTCCCTACCATGTGAGTCAGCGCTGGTTTGGGTTGTTGCTTGCATGTGCGTTAGCGCTTAGAAGGGTTGTGCAGATATTGGCTTTCTCAGACTTGGGTCGAGCTGGCTTGGGCCCAACGAACCAAAGGCAAACCATAAGTAAACCAAAGGTACACCAAGAGCAAGCCAAAAGCAAACGAAACCCAAACCAGAAGCAGCCAAAAGCAAGCCAAAAGAAAACCTATGGCAGACCGCAGGTAAAAGCAAAGGCAATCCAAAGGCAAACTGAAAGCAATCCAAAGGCAAACTAAAAGCAACCCAAAAGTAAACCAAAGGAAAACAAGAGGCAAACGAAAGGTAAAGCAAGATCAAGCCAACGGTAAGCCAAAGGCAAACAAAAGGTCAAACCAACGGTAAGCCAAAAGCAAGCCAAAGGTAAGCCAAAGGTGAACCAAAAGCAAGCCCAAAGCAAATCAAAAGCGAACCGAAGGCAAACCAAATGCAAACCCAAAGCCAAACGAAGCAAACCAAAAGCTGATCAAAAGCAAACCAAAAACAAACCAGTCAAAACAAAAAGCAAACCAAAGGTAAGCCAATAGCAATCCAAAGGCAGACCAATAGCTAAACAAAGGCAAACCACAAACAAGTCAAACCCAACAAAAGGAAGCCAAAAGCAAACCAATGGCGAAGCACAAGTGCACCAAAACGAAACCAAAGGAAAGCCAAGAGCAAACCAAACGCACACCAGGAGCAAACCAAAGCTAAGGCAAAAGCAAAGAAAAACAAGCCAAACCCAACCCAAAAGCAAAGCAAAAGCAAGCCAGAAGCAAACCAATGGCAAACCAAAGGTAAACCAAAACGAAACCAAAGGAAAGCCAAGAGCAAACCAAGGGCAAATCAATAGCAAAACAATCCAAACGCAAACCAGAAGCAAACCCAAAGCAAACCACGGGCAAACCAAAACCAACCCGACGCAAACCAAAGGCAAACCAAAGGCAAACCAAAAGCAAACCAAATGCAGACCAAAAGCAAACCGAAGCACACCAAAAGCTGACCAAAAGCAAACCAAAAGCAAGCCAAAAGCAAACCAAAGTCAAACCAAAGGTAAGCCAAAAGCAGACCAAAGTCAAACCAAAAAGGTAAGCCAAAAGCAGACCAAAGGTAAACCAAAAGCAGAAGCCAATAGCAATCCAAAGGCAGACCAATAGCTAAACAGAGGCCAACCACAAACAAGTCAAACCCAACTAAAAGCAAGCCAAAAGCAAACCAATGGCGAAGCACAAGTAAACCAAAACGAAACCAAAGGAAAGCCAAGAGCAAACCAAACGCACACCAGGAGCAAACCAAAGCCAAGGCAAAAGCAAAGAAAAACAAGCCAAACCCAACCCAAAAGCAAAGCAAAAGCAAGCCAGAAGCAAACCAATGGCGAACCAAAGGTAAACCAAAACGAAACCAAAAGGAAGCCAAGAGCAAACCAAGGGCAAATCAATAGCAAAACAAAGGCAAAGCAAAAGCCAACCCAAAGCAAACCAAAAACAAGCAAAAGGAAAACCAACAGCAAACCAAATGCAAACCAAAGGAAACCAAAGGCAAACGGTTATCCAAACGCAAACCAAAGCCAAACCCAAAGCAAATCAAGGGCAAACCAAAAGCATTCCGACGCAAACCAACGGCAAACCAAAGGCAAACCAAATGCAGACCAAAAGCAAACCGAAGCACACCAAAAGCAGACCAAAGGCAAATTAAAAGCAAACCAAAGTCACACCAAAGGTAAACCGAAAGCAGACCAAAGGAAAGCCAAAAGCAAACCAAAGATACACCAATAGCAAACCAAAGGCAACCAATAGCAAGCCAAAGGCAAAACCAATTACGAACCAAAGGTAAACCAAAACGAAACCAAAGGAAAGCCAAGAGCAAACCAAACGCACACCAGAAGCGAACCAAACCAAAGCCAAAAGCAAGAAAAAGCAAGCCAAAACCAAACCAAAAGCGAAACAAAAGCAAACCAGTGGCGAACCAAAGGTAATGCAAAATGAAACTAAAGGAAAGCCAGGAGCAAACCAAAGGCAAACCGATAGCAAACCAAGAGCCGCCAAAAGCAAGCCAAAGGAAAACCAATCGCAAACCACAGGCAAACCAAAGGCAATCCAAAGGCAAACCAAAAGCGAACCGAAGCAAACCAAAAGCTGACCAAACGCAAACCAAAAGCAAACCGAAAGCAAAACCAAAAAGCAAACCCAAGGCAAACCAAAGGCAAAGCAAATGTAACCTAGAGGCAATCCAAAGGCAAACCAACGGTAACTCAAAAGGAAACCAAATACAAACCAAAGGCAAACGTTAAGCAAACCAAAGGTTAACCAAACGCAACCAAAGGCAAACCAAAGGCAGACCCAAGCAAACCAAAAGGCAAACCAAAGGCAAGCCAAAGGTAAAACCAAACAAGTTTGTATTAGAGGATACTCTCGCCGGGCGCTATCCTAACCCTTTTAATATGATTCGCGGGGCGCGTGCCCTCTGGAGTGTCTTTTGCGCTTTCCGTTATTCGCCGCACTGGTGTACTCAATGTACTCGTGAGAGATTTGCAGAGATCCGGATCACTGTTCCGGGGCAACACCCAGCTATTCATCTCATCGATGTGAACTTCAACTTCGTCCGGTCCATCTCGGTGATTCCATCAATAAAAAAGTCTAGTTAATAAGCCGTGGTTCTCTGGTGACTACTTAAAGAGCATTGTACCTGACAAATGATTAGTACCCATGGAGTTCCAACCCACTTGCCCTGGTTATATGCCTCCTAAGTGGGTTATAATCACGCTTATAAACCACCTGCCCCCTTTACGTAGAAGCAGTGGCATACTACTCACAAGTCACTCGCCTCCCTTCAGGATCGGTTCTCGATAGGGGCGTGCCACCCTCGTTCCTATGAAACCCTCATTCATATGGTGCTCCGGACTCTGTCTGAAGTTGACATGAACATGGATTTGGGTCTGGGCATTTTTGAGGCAACCCTTTTTGTGGAAATTCCCACCCTCGAACAGAGCTCAGGCTCTGAAATTGACTCCTGATGTGGGTATGCACCCCTTTTTAGGGCAGTTAATGAAAAGGGAAACCAACAAATTGAAATTGGTAAACTTCTCCCTCGCCTCCTGTAGAAAAAGGGTGAAACAAAGGCCGTCCAGTGTCTGGGAACATTGGTAAAAATCGCCGCTGTACAAGTGAGACCAACGACCCAAAAACAAACTGTGGGGCCAACACCGTCTTTCGACCCATGCTCGTTGATGCCAAAACCCAGGACCCGGGCCTCTGCATCTGTCATCCACCGGAGCCTGGCGCTATGGGAGGCGATCCCCGAACAGAAAAAGGGCCCATACTGTGGAGGGACCAAATCCGTTCCCCGGTTAAGAAAAACGATCGTCAACTTAGTTAAATGGTTGGTGACTCTGGTGAGAGTTCGTTTGTCTGCTACTGTGGATGGACGACATCCTGCGCCACTTGGAAATCATGGGGAACCATTGTTTGTTGGTATTTACATGGGTGTGGGTCAATATTCTGGCGTGGAACGTTCCGCGGTGACGCGGACGTCTGGAACGAGTCAGTTGGTTGTTCCAGACCTCTGGGAAGACATGTGTGGAGTCCTCAAGCACACGTTCATTTAGTGTAAGATGGATAGATGGATGGATGACCGGATGGATGGGTAGATGGATGGATGAAGCGACCAGGGGCCCGCGGCCTTACGATACGGCACCTCCCCGAGGCTGGGAGGCATGAGCCAATGCACCAATGCACAAGCCGATGTACACGTCCAGGGCATTCTTCAAAGACTTCTGTCGCGTCTCCAAATCCCTGGCATAAGTCGTCCTTGAAGGCTTCTTGGGCGGCATGGTGGGCCGCGTAAGAAGCGCAGCTACTTACATGGAACATGTGTGTGCGTGTGGACTTGGTGGCAAATTGCTCCGCTGCGTCTGGAACACGTCTGGAACGGGTCTGGAACGGTTACGCGAGTGGCTTGCGCTTTGGAATGCTAGCAAGCATGGTCGTTTCAACAAATGTGACGACCGAGGGTATCGAGCTGTTACCGTATCGTATCGCACAGATAGCGGCAAAATCGTATCGCACCGAACCGAACCTAAGTTCCGGAACACCGATACTCCTTTCTTCATTTATTTCTCCTTCTTCCCTTGCTCCTTCTTTCTTGCTCCTTTGCTCCTTCACAAAAGCCCTGGCTGGCTTGGAAGAAGACGGGGTTGACCCTTAGCGTTGACAGACCGTTCCACAAACACATCTGTCAACAGGAATTCCATCCAAGTCCCAATGAGTACAAGCCATGCAGCCCTAACCACCAAAGCTCGACAAGCAAAACTCATCGTTAGCATCTCAGGCTTCTTGCATTTGGCAAAGCAAGGGGGAAGTCAATAACCTACCAAATCCCCTGACCATCTGAATCAATACTCTAGACATAAATATGCATAAACAAGGTCTGGAACGGAAGGTCTGGAACAATTTTCTAGGCAAGGTCTGGAACGGAGGTCTGGAACGGAGGTCTGGAACGGAGGTCTGGAACGGAGGTCTGGATCGCATGTGGGTTCCGGACCCTGTCGGACCTTATAAATTGACTCGCAGCCACATGGGAATCGAATCATTCTAAGGTTTCTTAGGTGGTGCGAAATGGATTTCGCACCCATCCACAGGGCCTGAAGGCTTCAACTCTTTTCTTGGAGGTCCAAAGGGTTGGGTGACAGGAGAATCTCATGGTCAGCTCATCTAGGTCCTCCAGTAGAGAGGTTACCCTTATCAGGACGTCTATTCCTCCCCCAAAGAAGGGTAAAAGGGCACTACTGGGGGACCTAGTCATGGTTTTTCCTCTGCTCATGGTCGTCCTTGCTTCTTTGTTGCTGTGTTGCTCAACGTCTTGAACGCAAACTCAACTGAAAGCTTCCGCGACTTTGGACTCATACCAGGGCGCGGGAACTCGATGCGAACCCGGAACATCTGCACGAACTACCGTGGGCCCTGTCTTCACTATCTTCACTCGAGAAATCTCCTTTTGGGAGACAGCCCCAAGTGGGTTAACCATGTTTCTTTGTGGAGAGTTCAGCAATTCAGGAATCCCGAAGGAACCCTCATCGCTGTCCAACAAAATGGGCTTTCTGGGGTTTGTGGTACGGTCGATTCCCGAAATGTAACAAGTAATCACGCCCACCAAAGGGGAGCAACATGGTGCCCCCTATGCTGCCATCTCGCCAATCTACCAACATCATCATTTAGAGGTGTCCTTTTTTGAGGGTGCCCCTTTTTGGGTGGTTTTACAGAGAAACCAAATTGGGAGACCCACCATTTGGGGGGGTCTCCCAAACAAGAACACATTTCTTTCCACACACACAACGGGGCAAGATGAAGAAAGGAGGACCAAACGTCACGAGATCCTCCCCTTGAGGTTGGGAGTCCCCAGAGAAAAAAATGGAACCAGACATGGAGATCTCCAGGGGAGAAGACTTCCTCTCCCCCAAGTCCATTGGTTGGGTCTTCCGGAGAAAGAACATGGGGAAGAAAGAATTGTGGAGATCTGCAGGGATTGCTTTCTCCCCCCTCCCCCGATTCCATTCTTAAGGGGGTGGGATAGCAGGATACACTCCAAATCGCCATACCCATGTCAAGGCCTCAGGTCCCTAGAGCTGCTTCCGTTGATAGAAATTGAGACGAAAAAAGACAAGCGGGACCTTGCAACAGCGGAACTGGGAGATTCATGCAGATGCAAACCAAATACAAACAGGCAGGTGATCGGCTGCTGAAGGTACGTCCCTAGGCTCTGAGGAGACTTATGCTGGGTGAGACTGACTTCTTTGCCCAACCTGGCCAAGACCTTGCCTACGTCCTCCAATAGAGAGGTTAGAATAAGGCTAGCCACTGTTTTCAGGACGATTGTAGTAGGGGCATCCTCCCAACCAAAAAAAGGTAAAAGGGCACCAAACCGCTGGGGGACCTCGTTGCGTTCAGGTCGATGGCCTCACGTCAGAGACTCGGGTCAGATCCGATCAGCATCCCCTCGAGGTCCCGGCAGCATTTGCCCCAGCTTTGATCCCGCGCGCGGCTCCGAGCGCTCGCCTGCACACGGGGAAAGGCCATTTATTTGGGGACCCCAAAGGTGGTTCTCCTCTGGGTTCCCTCTAGAACCACCAAAACAAGGCCTCCATTTGCTTAAGTTTTTTGGAGAAAATAAACATACTTCCAGTAGTGATAGATTCCCTTTAAAACCAACAGAGGAAAATATTATTATTATTCTTATTTTTTTTTAAAAAAAAAAAAGAGGAAGAAGGGCACCTTGAAGTATTTCCGGGTACCCCTTTTTGGTTGCAAAAGGAACACCACAACTTTGGGGGATGCACTAAAAAAGACTCACCCACATATTGATTTGTCTATTTAGTTGTGTATGTATATATTCATTTATTTATTTATTTATTTATTTATTTATATATATATATTGGCTTTCCTATAACCAACACACATTCGAGAAGAAGTTTGGGGGTGCTTGAACTGGTGCCCAAGGTGCTGAAATCCCCTGAGAGAACTGGGAGGGAGGACTGCCCGCTGTTCTCCACAATGCATTTACATCGGTCAAACACGGCTGATGTAGGGATGTCCTGGACCCTCAAAACATCCTGAAATATTGGAACGCGCACCACCGTTTTGTGGGTAGTTTGGGGATCTAGCTAAGTGCTTCTAGGTGCGTGACACTGCCCAGACCAGTTTATGAAGCCTTCTTCGGGGCAAATAGGCGATCGACGACGTAGTGTGTGTGTCAAAATCGGAGGAGCCTCAGACTTGTGCTTCAAACTTCAAACCAACCTTAAGAACCTCAACAAACACGCCCCTTTACCAATGTCTACCAGTGCCCATATACAGCACTTGCGTTGAGTGTTTCCATGAACCCAAGACCGTTAGGACCACCCGCGAATCCAAAATCAATTGGTGGGACCCGCCCTTTTCGCCAAAATTTCCGTGCTTGAGGCCTTTGAAACGGATAAGGCTACATCTTGACCCCAGAAAAGTTGAGGCAATGGAAGAAACAAATGTCAACCCTCTTCTCACGCGCTGCCATCATCTTGAGGCCCGGAGAAACCCGGAAACTTGAAAGTGCCAAGATTCCCTTTTAGAAGACGGATTTCAACCCTCACGGACTCACGTGTTGGGCAAAACAAAAGTCCGAACTGAAATGAGCAACCCCCCAGAAAGGAGCGCTCATGGAAAACTGGCAAACAGCAACCTTCTTCAAACCGAAGGGGAAATAGCAGACTACACTTGCTGTGGATGGTTTCGAAATCCATTTCGCACCACCGTTCCGAAACCCGGTTTCTGATTTGATTCCCCTACACGAAACAAAAAACAACAAACCCTATATGGTTTCACCCAAAAACTGCCTCAGACAGGCGAGAGGTTGGAGTTGGGGTAGGGGGAAGGTGTCCATGCGGATGTCAACAATGTCAATAGCGTGCGCCCTGCCTGTTCAAGACAAGGAAAATAACATCACAAGACACGACACTAAACACTGGCCAACAAAACCAAGCAGTGAAACCAAACCATCCAAACAATTCAAACAAAAAACCGGGCTCAGCCCCAAAAATGGAGAACAGTTTCAGTGGTTGCATCCCGCCGAAAACCGGCGGTTCTCGGGCCCTGCCCCACGCCAACTTTTTCTGGGATCCTTATATGATGCACCTGAACATTGCCTTGTAAATGGTGGTTTCCCTTTATTTTGGTGTTGAAAAAGCAACCTGTTTCAAATGGGTGGGCAAGATGAATTTCGTTCAAATGGAGCCCTGCCATTCTTTGGGTGAGGGTTGAAGGAAACTTGCCGGCGCTCAGCAGTTGGAATGAGTTGGAACCCCTATAAACGATCATCCCTATATTTTTGCAAAATGTATCTTTTAAGGAGCCCTGCGCCTGTTTGGAGGGTTTTTCTATCTGGGCGTGTCTTTTTGAGGGTACCTGAAAAACACGGTCCTGGAGTCATGGGGCCACGGTTCTGGAGGGTCACGTGTCCCCAAAAGTATCACAGACGTTGGAGAAACCCCGAGTGATCAACCACATCCCTGAGCTGGAATGACCCCTACAAACGATCATCCAGACTCTTTTTTCTCTGGCCGCTCTTCTCGTCATCTGAAGGCGCTCACGGGCTTCCGGGCCTCAGATCTTCCGATCGAGCGATGGGCGGGGCCAAGCGCTGGCCGAGAGCTGGTGGCCGGGAACCACCGCTCTGCAAGGCTTCACTTTGGGTGGGTCCAAGAGGAAAACCAGGATCCAAACTAAATGGTCTAAAGAAGTCGAGAGGAAAACCAGGATTCAAAGGGTCCCAAAAAGTCAAAGTCTGAAGATCCAAGCAAATGGCAACCAAGATTAGTGTTCAACCCGAACATGGTAGGTTTTGTATATTCAGTTGTTCATCATGTTTAGTCAAGGGCGACAATGTAAGGTGGTCCTAAAAGTTGACCCAGCAAAGGGAATGGCCACGTCCATGGTCTAATCTCCAAAATGTTGGTGGTTCTCACAGGAACCCTTGGATTGGCTGTCCAAACTGCAGGGTGCATCGACAAGTGCAAGGTTCGCTTGACCAGTCCACAGCATTCTGATCCGTGCGTTTCCAGCATGTGACCCGGATTCCCTTTGACTTGCTGTTGCTCCGTAGAGAATGAGGGAATGAATCTGGGGATTCCCTTAAAGGAAACCATATGGGATGGTCTATTCCCTCATTCCCTGCTGAGCACAAGCAAGTTGAGTTGAATGTCCAAGATCAACTGGGCTCTCATTGATCCAGGTGCTTCATACCTCTAGTACTTCAGGCAACTTCTAGTGCTTTAACGTACTGGAGGCGATTGTCTACTACATGTGTATGCATATCATATGTGTATGTATGTATGTATGTATGTATGTATGTATGTATGTATGTATGTAATGTAATGTAATGTAATGTAATGTAATGTAATGTAATGTAATGTAATGTAATGTAATGTAATGTAATGTAATGTAATGTAATGTAATGTAATGTAATGTAATGTAATGTAATGTAATGTAATGTAATGTAATGTAATGTAATGTAATGTAATGTAATGTAATGTAATGTAATGTAATGTAATGTAATGTAATGTATGTATGTATGTATGTATGTATGTATGCATGCATGTATGTATGTATGTATGTATGTATGTATGTATGTATGTATGTACGTCTGTATGTCTTTATGCATGTATGTATGTATGCATGTATGTAAGTATGCATGTATGTGTGAACACATGCATCCATGCATAGATGCAATGTCTGTACACATGTAGACATGTATATTTGTACATTTGTATTTGTATAGGGCATCTCCCCACATGGGGTTTCTCGCCAAAAGGATCCCTTGGCATGGCGTCCAAGCTGACGGAATCGGTCCAAGCTGCTCGTTGTCTGCGGCCTTTTGCCTCCGGGCACATGGGTCTGTATTTGATTGAGGGTACTGTTTTTTGGCGGTTTAAAAGGAAATCCAAAAGGTAAAACACAGTTTTTGGGAGGGTCTCCTCAAAAGGACGTATCCAAATCAAAGACGCAAGCACCATGTTTCAAGGAAAGCACTCCGGATCCGGCAAAATGACCAAGTTGCCGACAACAAGGACTCTGTTCGGACGGCGCCGCCTTGTGCCGCTTTCAGGAGGATATCAGGGAAATATCAAATTGGGGATCCAAATTTTGAGCCCACAGACCTGCACATTGAACACGGGCCTTCTGAAAGGAAGCTCTTTCGGCAAGAACAATTCTCATCTTTCCACGGGGTTCCTTCAAGGATGTATCCAAGAACCTGCCTTCCAGCGGAACGCAAAATCCCAGATTGCGGTTCCTCAGCTTTGTTTGGCAAGCAATCTTTACAAATGGAATTTCCTGCTTTGCTGCGCCATTATGCCTCTTTCACCAACATCTCTGCAGATCTTTCGGTGGAACCCGGCAAGTCAAATGGCCATGAGTCAAAATCCAAATCGTAGCCCGAGTGAACGGGACCCAATCCCCACTAAAATAGGTTCTAAAATGGGTGGTGAATTCACCGACCCCAAAATGGGATCCCCTTGGTTTTGACCCACAGCCAAATTTGAAGAGCGAGACGGCTCCCTTTTTTTGGGCGTTCTATGCCAATGTGCAGGGGAGCGATATTAGGGCCTAAACAAACTAGAATGGGGTTGAGGGGAAATTAAAGCTGTATTCTTGTTTCTCAAGAAACCAACGTAACAAAGGGTGGCCTGAAAACTGCAGAGACCCTTTGGACATTTCGGTGCGGAGTTGTGTCCAATCACTTTTCAGGTCCTATTGACACAAAGGATAAAGGGCACCCCTGGAGATCCAGGACATAGCAAGTCGGCCTCACTGGCTTTGGCTTCTTGCGCTGGCGCGCTCTGGTCATTGGCGGCGCCGGCTTCGGTCTTTCCTTGGCGCAGCAACATTTCAAACAGAGAGGTTAGAATAAGGGTACTCTTTTTTTTCTGCAGTTTATTTTATTTTTATCCCTGAGGTCGGTATTCAAATCCAAACCAAAAGAAAGCCAGTCATGCGGGACCAGTATTTTCAAGAAGCACCTACGTAGCAGGTCAAAGGGCCAGTTTGTTGAAGGCTACCCCAAGTGAACCTGCCAACGTGTTGAAAGGTCGAAACTTCGGCCTTAAACGGATGCCGCTCCGAGCCGCACAAAGCGACATGCATTGAGCTACACTTCGAATCGATAAATAGCGACTCGCAAGCTGTGAAACTGGTCGGCGAAAAAAGAACCAAACCCGTCCTCCAGTAGAGAGGTTAGAAGTTGGTACCAACTTTCTTCAGGACCTCTATTTTAAAATTTTAGCGGAACCAATCCTCCCAAAGAAACGGGTCAAAAAGAGCACCAATCGCTGGAAAAACCAAGAGCCCGAACAGGGATCCTTACATGATGCACCTGAACATTGCAACTTGTAAATGGTGGTTTCCAACTTTTTTTTGGTGTTGAAAAAGCAACATGTTTCAAATGGGTGGGCAAACTGAATTCCTTTCAAATGGAACCCTGCTGCTTCGCAAAAATCGGCAAAACAAAACTTGGTTGCATTTTGCTCCCCTGCTAAAAGTTTAACTTTTAGTGGGTTTAATACGGAAAACCCATTCGTTTGCAAAAAGTTGTCCAGTCCTAACAGCCCTTGGCAAAATGCACCAAAGAAAACCCGAAGCGCGCTATGCCTGGCGAGGAGTCCCTCCGCCGGGACTTCTTTGGCCCCGTGGGCGGCCGCCTCCGCCTTCAGCTCTTGCACCTGCGAGGCTCGAGGTCCGAGGAACATCTCGGCCTGTGGTTCTGTGCTGTTTTGTGTTTGTTTGTTGGTTTGTTTCTCTGTTTTTTGTTTTGCTTTGTTCAACAAAAAAAACAATTGTTGTTTTAGTTTTCTGAAAAAAACAGAAAAGAAACAACAAAACACGACTCAAGCCACACTTGCGCAACAAGGACATCGCCAGCGTGCTAATCCACGTCTGCTGCAATAAGCTTCACTTGCAAGTATCTGCTTCAAGGGAAACAACTGCACTGAGGCTGAAGAACATATTCGACTCATCGAGAGTTGACTGGCTCCCCCCGCCCCTAGTAAACAATAGATATCTTATCAAACAACATAATAAATAGGTACATAAATGAGTAAGCAAACAACTAAATGAATAAACAAGCATATCACTAAATATAATTGAAACATAAAATAAATAGACAAATAAACATAATCTCAGCATGGGCCCTTGTGAATGGACCCTTAATTTGTCCCACTTCCATACCCGTTACATACCCCTTGTACAGGCATGATGGGCAAAACTGAGACTCACAAGGGCCCATTAGATTGTGCCTCGAAAATAAACAAATACATGCATACATAAGCACATGAATAATAACACAATAAGTACATCCCCCCAGGTTGAACATTTCACAACACATGCAAGTCCCAGAGGGTCCAGGTACCTCCTAAGGATGTCTTTTGGGAGGTAAAAAGGGGTCGTTCAGTACCTCCTCAAAAGGTACCTGGACCCTCTAGGAGTATGGCGTTCATATATTACTGAAACTGTTGATGATGGGAGGGATGGCGCCTTGCCAGCTCCTCCATGGGCATCTTTGGCCCCTTTCACTTCGGATGACGTCCTCGGGACATCTTTGGTCCCGTCCGCTGTCTCGTTCTTCGCATCCTTCCCTGCGGACCCTTTGGCCCCATCTTTCAGCCCATCTTTGGTCCCTGAGTCAAGGTTGGCCTGATCGGTGGCCTCATCTTTGGTCCCTCTGACCTCATCTTTGGCCTTCTCTCTGACCTGGGCTGCCCGTTTTCGGATCCCCCGCTAAAAGTGACTAACTTCTAGTGGGTTCAATGGAAACTACCACTGAACCGGATGGCTGGCTTCGCCACCAAGTGACCTCTTTGCCCTCGTCTTGGGCCTCCGCGGCCGCGGCCTCGGGCGACCTGGACCCGGGCGCTGTGGCTTGCTGGCCGCTCTCTGGTGCCTGACCGACGCCGCTCCAATCTGCCATGCTTTCTGCAAAGGGGTAGGTCAATGTGTCCAAATAAGGGGACCCATCAAATGGGTGGTTGTGCGTTTGGCCTGCCTTTGAATCAAGGTGAAAAGGGTGCCCTCACAAAAAGCACAAACTCTCTCATGCTGTGGGGGGACATTGTCAAGTCAGCAACCTGTGACTCTGTGACACCAATGCTAGGCTGGCATTGATCTGCATCAACACACGAAAATGCGAAGAGACCGCTGCTCTAAGCTCCTGTAAGACTGACGCCTGAAAATAAAACGCGTCAGCCCCGGAGGGGTGATCCTAAAAAACTTGCTGGTTCGTTGATCCATTGCTAAAAAGTAAACCCTTATAGTGGGATATAGTGGCTGGACGAAATCCACGTCACCGTTCAGAAACCCTGGAATGATTTGATTTCCCCTGTAAATACCAACAAACCTCATGGTGTCCCATGGTTCATTTCGTGGTGCGGTCTCGGATTTCACGTCCACAACATGACATAATTCCATCCAAAGTCAAAGGAAGCGTATTGGTTCGGAACCGCCATGAGAGCTCACTTTAGGTGACCTGAAGGGAATCATGCAATACCCGTTTCTAACATACACTTTCAGGCACCGCATGCGCCATGATCTACACTGTGGGTCCTGGTCATGGTCCCAAGCAAACGTCAACTTTTGAGCCATGGCAAATGCGGTTGTCCAAAACTAAAAGCCCCTTCTTGAAAATTGGAACCTTGGTGTCTTCTTGTGCAAACTGACCAAGCTGCCTTTAGCTTACGCTTACCCCCCAAAAAGCAAAGGTGCTTTTTGTCACAGGGGGAAATTTGAGGTCTCAACATGGAGCCATCAGTTGAATTCCGCCTCGCTGTCTTCGGCTTGCTGTGCCGGCACTTCGGAAGACTTCAGTGGGACATCTTTGGCCCCGTCTTCGGCAAGTGTCTCTTCGGCCTCTTTGATCTCTTTCGCCCCTGTGAACCCCTCTTTGCCTGCCTCGGTCCCTTCAGGCCCACCTTTGGCTGCCTCATCGTTGGTCCTGCCTTCGGCCACGGGATCAACTGTGGCCGGATCTTTGAGCTCATCATCCGCCTCAGCTTGGGCCTCAGGCGGCTTAGCTTCGTCTTTTGCCTCTTTGGCCCCATCTTTCGCCCGATCTTCGGTCCAATCTTTGCTTCCGTCTTTGAGCCCAGTGCCAGTGGAGTCAGCTTTGGGATCATTGGCCTCGGCCACTGTCCCTCGAACCTCACAAACCTCACATCTTGCAATCTGACGGCTTCCTTTCAACCTACGAACCTCCAACACGGGAAATGCCGGAAACCCCTGCCTCATCTGCCACTTCATTCGTCTCTTTGGACTCGTCGTTGGCCTCCACTTCTCTCACCACGCTTTCGGCCTCCGGCTCCTGCAATTGCAAACCGGCGAATGGTGTCTAGGACTTCACGTTCGGCTTCCGCGCCTTTTCATTTCTCAGTGGATGGGCCAAGAACACCAGCGAACTCTTTGCTTACCACGAAGTTGGTCCTCACAGAAGTATCTCCCCCCGACAACTTGGAAAGTAGGTGTCATGCAGCTCATAATGCCATAAATCATGAACGTCTTGGTCCAGCCCACAAAAAGAAGACAAGGCAACGAATTCAATGCCGAAGAAACTGAAAAACATGTTTGACGTGCGTGGGCTCGTTCGTTGCCAATGCCACGTGTGGCCGGCTCTCGCACCCGACAACCAAACCTAGATGGCCTCAATTGGGGAAAAGGATGCCAAGCCTTTGTAGAAACCACCTCCAAAAGACGTGTTCAATGTCACGCACCATGTTGGAGCCTTTCGGGTTAAGGAATCCTATCGCGAGAAACCCGCGACATGAGACTGCAAGGCTCGATTCGAGGGACATCTCGGGAATCAAAGTAAACCATCCCAAACGGGAGCCGACTGCCGACTCCCCACTTCACAGGAGTCCCACCTTCCTCCGTAGGGCCACATTTCAGGCCTCATTTTGGGGCCTTTGGGAACACCCCAAGGCAGCTCCTATGGTGACACCGTGCCATCTTCCACTCCGACAAGCCTCCTCTGACGACCACCGAACTCCGCGAGTCTCGCACCGAACGAAACACGGAAGGATGCGATCTTTTTTCCTGGAAGCGCCAACAAGCCTCCTGGTTTCAACCGTGGGTTCCATGAGTTGAAGAGGATTTCGCAACCTTCCATAGGATGTCGAATCTCCCTAGGAAACTCAATTTTAGCATGGCAAAACGAGAAACAACCAGCCCAACACGTGCAAGGGACACCCTCCGAAACACGGGCTGTGGCTGAAGTCGGCTAAGCCGACCAATTCGGTCCGCCTCGCTGGGAACTGCCGCTGCCGGCTCCGCTGCCTCAGCGAACAAAGACGGTGGGCTTGTTGGTCAAGGGCTGGTCGTTTTAGCTTGTGGACTTAGCCTGCTTTAGGTTGGCAAACCGGAAAATCAAAAGGACAACTGCGTTCATGTTGTTTCGCGGGCTCCCCAGGATGAAAAAAAATGGGGTGTTCCCTTGCTGGGCAAGATACACTTTCCGAGGTTGACAAGCAGCACGATTTGGGTGTGGCTGGTTCCCTGGGCGAGACGGGGACCGGGCAGTATCATACACCTGAGCTTGTCCGGCGCATTTGATCCCTGCTCCTTGTGAAAGTTAGATGTTCCCGTTCAAGCCTAAACCAAGGAATTTAACATATGCAACTTGCGAAACCTCTATAGCCAACGGTTTTGCTAGACGCTCGTATGTTCCGTGCTCATCATTTTAGTGAACAACGATGTAAACGTGACCCCAGATTGCCCAACTGACCCCCCAAAATCTTTCTTACCACCAAACTGGTCTCAAAAGTCATTCGGAGGCGACCGAACCTTCACCTTTCGGCTTGCTCCCACTCGACCCGATCTCGGTTGAAACATGATTCGCCTGCCGGGGAAGTAAGGGAAACCAACCGAATTGACCCGGAGGGTGCAGATCATCTTTCAACTTGGAGCAAATGCTTGAAGAGGTAGGTGGCGAAAGGGTCCAGTGGGAAAGCGTCGCTTCGAAAAGGCAGGGCGGTTACGAAAAGGCAGGTCTGCCCGCCCTCAGTCTTGTACTATAAGAGCCTAGGAACACAGAACGGGTGCTATTAAAGCATGCTCATAGAAGAATGCTTGTAATTTCTTCCTTCCCTCGTATGCTTCCTCCAGACTTCCCCATGTTTTTCCGGGGCTTCGGATACAAGGACGGACAACCGAATTGGCTGCAGTTCCTGAGGAAAAACAAAAAACAACGAGTTCGATTCCTTGTGCCTTACTTAGCTCCAAAGGACCTGCCCAGCTTGGATCCCAGAAAAACCGGAGGGTGATCACCTTGCGCCTCTGGGTCAAGAGGAATGACAAGCTCAAGATTTCTGCCCAGTTAGAAATAAGACCACCTTTCGGGGCCACAAACAAAAACTGACCTGAGAGACTGTGTCCTGTGAAAGGACCTACCCATGCGGTGGGTGCTGGACTTTCTTGTGAGCCGATCCAACCTAGCTCAACCGAGCTTAACTCGGGGAAGTGGTAAGAACAGAAGCCTTCGAACAATGTCTTCGAATGGGTGAGCTTTCACCGTCGAATCGGTGAGCTCGCTATAACTTGCGCTGACTCGTGTCAGCTTCCCTCTACCAATCCCATTTGCTCTTTTTCGAGTCAGGGGTGGTCCCCAAACCACTCCAAACCCCCAAGCAAGCGGAGGCTAAACATGTTGGTGCTTTTTGACGCTGCCCTTTTTTACGTTCTAGGTCCTCCAGTAGAGAGGTTCGAATAAGGGTACCAACTTTTTCTGCAGTCTACTTCAGTCGGGGAACCCTCCCAACCAAAAAAGGAACGGCAAAAGGGCACTGGGGGACCTAGATGTTAAGGCTGCGCACTGCAAGCCCCCTCGCCCAACCCCCCCCCCCCCACCCCGAGGTTCGAGCGCTCGCAGCGCTCGCTTCAAGAGGCTTCCCCTGCCAGGAGAGCCGATTCGGTCAACCGAAAGCCGAAGGCATGATTGGAGTGTCTAGATAGCCAAGTTGCCCCGCTTTTTTTCAGTCACTGTTGCTGGTTTTTGGGCTAAAGTGGATGGAACAAAGCGATCGCAACTGGTGATCCAGGTGGAATTCCCGTTGGGATTTTTAGAAGATAGAAGATCTAGATTGAACATGTGATAAAGAAGAACGTCACAAAGAGGACATGGAAACAGAAAATGGTTGGATTGTAAACACAATGTTTGCCACAAAGCCATTAAAATGGAATGGTGGATAAAAACAATGTAACTGCTCTCCCCATACATTCATCTTCATTCAGTAAACATAATGCGCACATGTTGTTCCCATTCAGAAGAAGTAAACGATCATTCCAGAAAAAAAAACAACTTTTTGGACTATAAACAAATATGCCGCATAAATCGTCATGGCTCTTCAGCCAGCCATAAACAGCGTCAACCATGGTTACTCAATGGCTAAAGCCAGCTCCTGCAACTTGGAAGCTTGCCGAAAAAACAGTGCATCGAGGCCTTGGAAACGCATCCGCGTGTGTGTGTGTGTGTGTGTGTGTGTGTGTGTGTGTGTGTGTGTGTGTGTGTGTGTGTGTGTGTGTGTGTGTGTGTGTGTGTGTGTGTGTGTGTGTGTGTGTGTGTGTGTGTGTGTATGTGTATGTGTATGTGTGTGTGTGCGCTTTTGGGGATTGTGCGCTTTCGGGGGCTTTCAGGGGCTCCAGTCAGGCGACCCCTTTGTCAGTGGTTAGGGGGATGGTCTTGCCACAAATCCATGTGAGAGAATTGGATACATCAATACAACATTCTCCCAGAATAAAATAAGTTGGCTACATCATTTCACTACCCATCAGTCGAACAAGTCGGTTACATAGTACCCCTCAATGCCGTTCCAAGGATCGAGGCCCAGATAGCAAGGGATTGAGGGGGGTTCCCTCTTCAACCTGGTCCTCAGAGCCTCGGAAAAAGAAAAAAACACTTTACTTTAGTGGGCTGAGTTCGGAAACCCAACCACTAAACCAACTAACAACGTAACAACCAAAAAAGACGGAGCCTCAAAATAACATGGCACATCTGGACGGGATGGTACCCACGTTCCAAGGGGACGGATTCGTTCCAAGGGTCGCCACTTCGCTCTCGCCGGAACTCTTCTCCCCGCGCCTCTCGCAACGCTGCCAGCTGGGCGCCCAAGTGCCGCATCTGCTGCAAGCGCCGCAGCGCCGCCTAAAGGTCGCCCGAAAATCGGCGAGGTTGGCGGTGGTTGCTTGTTGCAGGTCTTCCCAGGCGCCAAAAAGGATGCCTCTTGGCTATCTGCAAACTAGCTGAGTTTTAGCCCATGCTTCAAGGGTTCGTTTGTTGGGAAGAGGGGTCAACCTAGAAAGCTTGAGGAAACTAATCTCATAAATCCCCTTCGGAATGGTGAAGTTCGCCCTCGCTACCTTGGATGGACGAAATCCAGTTCGCACCATCCAAGGCACCCTATGATTTCCCAACGCAAACCACCAAAGAACCATGGAATCCCTTCGGATGGCCGAAATCCATTTCGCACCATCTAAGAAACCCAAACACCGACAAACCACGGAATCCGCCATGGTTTCAGTTCGTGGCGCCTTTCCGGATTTCCTCCACTGGGTGCAGTTGGACAGCGCCACTGGATTCATTCAAAGAGTCAAGAGCCTGAGATGCCTGCGGCTCTTTGGGTGTCTTTTGCTAGGGAATCCCCCAAAAAGCTGGTTTTACTCGTGGGCTCCCTTTTAAAATCACCAAACAAGAAAGACCCATCTGAAAAAAAACTGGTTTTGCTCTTGGGTTCTCTTTGAAACCACCAAAAAAAAAGAGCAACACCCATCTGGGAATGGTGTTCAAAATCCCCTCCATTGTGGTAACCAAGCCCAGACTGCCAGGGCAGGATGTTCAACCGGAGCTAACCCCAGTTTCCCCAGCTACCATGGCTTTAACTGCTTACTAAGTGGGCCTGAGCATCCAATTCCTTGCAGCTTTCCCACAATGCAAACTGCCCAGCGGAGTTCCATGGGAAAAAGGCACTCTTGCTTCGTTGATGTTAAATGGACACCCCTCGGGCAAGTGAAACACACAACAAGCAATTGAGGCCCAATTGCAAGGGACAATGCTGGAAAAAACAAAAAGTCAGTAAGCTAAGTCATGTGTCTTTGAGACCCTCCAAAGTTGTGATGTTCCTCTCAATTTCCTTCCAAACCACGAGCAAATGGTACCCCCCAAAAAAAACACTCACCCATAGGCCTTTTGGAAATATACATGGCCGTGGTAAAATGGAATAAGCCCCATCTAAACCAGGGCCCTCTACCTTTCAAGCAAACCAACAAGGGACGCCTATGCACGCACCCCTTTTGCTGGAGGCCCCGAGTTCCCCGCGTTTTCCGCCCCAAACCGCAGCCGCGCCCGCCTGCGCAGGGCTGCGCGCCCGTTGCGAGCGTCCGCGCTGCAAGCGCGGGGAGTCCAAGAACTTGCGGGCGCCTCCGTGCGCCAGCGGAGGCATCCCTTGTGCCATGCGAATGTTGACCCCATATTAATCAACCCCAGTATGAAGGCAGATCGACCAAATATAGACGAATCCAAACATATTGGCTCTGTGCGCGTGAGTGATAGCCTCGGTCAAGAAGACGATCTTCAACTTAGTTAAGTGGTTGGTGACTCTGGTGAGAGCTCGTTTGTCTGCTACTGTGGATGGACGAAATCTGTTCGCACCGCTTTAAAACCATGGTTGAAACCATTGTTCGTTGGTATTTTCAGGGGAATCGGGTTTTTTGGGTGGTGCGAAATGGATTTCGCAACCATCCACAGTATTAATCAACCCCAGTGTACTACTAGGGGGGTGGGGCACTCCCTATTAATAAACTGGCTGGGGTCAACATTACGGAGCCTCTGCCCCGAGCTTTGGGGTTTGGGGCAGCTTTCGGGGAATCCTCCCGGAAATTCTTTTAATTCGGCAAACGCTGGGATACCACATAAGCCCTTTTTTGCCGAGGCGACCCTTTTGGCTTGATTGTTTTGCAGGGAAACCAAAAGGAAAACCGCACTGTTCGGCTCTGATTGATTGGGCTCAGGCGTTGTTGTCCCTTCTGGTTCGCTTTCAGGGCCTGCTTGGTGTTTTGTTGTGTTGATCCCTTCCTAAAATATGTATTTTTGTAGGAGATCACTTACAGCCCTTTCAGCCCAAGTCTAAAAGTCTAATGGGTTGGCCGGAGAACGCCAAGTCATATCAGGTGCATTGTACAAACAAGGTTCCGAGGTGTGTTTCTATAGTATCAAGGTTTCCATGCCTTGTGTTCAAGAGGGCTTCAACTGACTTTGTTGCTTGGGGCGGTTGATTGGTAGGAATCTCTGAGTGGTTGTTGTTCCACATTGATCTTGGTGATGATTAATCTGACAATGGGTGTCAAGTTGTCTCGTTGCATTCTAGGACAGCCAGGGGCTTCTTTGTATCGCTAACAAGTCCAAGACGCGGGCCACCGGTGTGTTCTTGGCCGGGCACGGGCGAAATCCGAAAGGGACGTGCTCTGTGATACTGTGGATGGACGAAATTCTGCACCACCTAAGAAACTCTGGAATTGGTAAATACCAACAAACAATGGTTTCCCATGGTTTCAAAGTGGTGCGAAATGGATTTCGTCCATCCACAGTACCGCGGGCCTTTTCTGCATCGCAGTCCTAGACTAGCAGTTGTTACTGCGTAAGACCTTGTGCCAAGCTTCGTAAAACATGGAGTTGTTTTGAACAAGCACGTGCACCGGGAAAAACATGTTTGCCTCGTGAAACCATGTAAGACTCAACAGCGACCCGTGAGATCAGGAACCAAATGAGAGTCCCTTGGTACCTCATGAGAATGGCTTAAAAGGGGGTAAAAAGGGGTACCTCCTCAGAAGGTACCAAGGGACCCTCCGGGAGGGAAATCCAGCCAGGGGGTCCCCGAGTGTTTCCCGCAAATCCGTGGAGTCAACGACGCACGCCTTGGGCGGCCTTGACTGCCGTCTGAAGGCTCGTCTCCTGCGAGCCTCGCGGTGCCTGCGACGCGACCCGTTTGGGGATCGAGGAAAAGGATATCTCCACACAAAAAAAAGGAAACAAACACAGAACCTGAATTTGCCAGCCCCCCCCCCCCCAAAAAAAAAAAGAGAGAAAAGAAACATGTATCAAGCCGAAGCGTGTCCTGGAGGTGGGCTGTCACAACTCGGCGATTCAGCTTGAACTTTTAGATGGTACAATATTAAAGGGAGATATAATAACATATCCCATCCCACAAACTTTTTTTTGGGGGTGTTTGCTTTTAGCTTACAGGATGGACCGAAAACATCACGGGAAAGGAAGACAAGCCGCAAGCAGCCTCAAGGGCAAAGCTTGAGCCTCTAAAGCCCAAATGGCGACATTTGAGCCTAGCCCCTTGTTTCAGGATGCCCGCGGCTTAGATGGGAAGCCCACAAGTGTCGCCCAAAGTCAATTCCCACTACCCTGCCACCAATTAACATGGAACCTGGCAGGCAGGTCCCCAGATCCCGGAAGACCATTCTCCTTTTAAAGGGACCCCCGAACGTCAGGTTGCATGTTACTTGGTGGGAGGGTAAAAAGGGGACAGCCCCTTATAAAGCAACCACACCAGCTTCCAGCGAAGGCAGCTCAAGCTCAAGCCAGACCTCCTCCACTTCCACAATCGCAACCAAGCATCTTTTCTCCGGTCCACATGTCTCTGGCTTCAGCACACCATCCACTGATCCACCAAGTCACCAGCTCAACTCTCGAAATTTTGGGGCGCCAATGCCTCTCACACCTTCCTCATGTCGTGAAGCATTGGCCGGTCAAAGGCTGCGAAGCAATACGTGCAGCTTGGTACCGGGCTGAGCCCCAACTCATCCCAGAGGGTCCAAGTACCTTCTAAGGAGGCAGTTAGGCCCCTTTTCACCCCCCAAAAGCCATCCTCATGAAGTACTTGGACCCTCTGGGCATGTTATGCGAACTCTGAAGTTACCTCATTCCAGCTCCCTCATGATGTGGGTGCCCTGGGTTTCCCGCTCCCAAACAACCGTTCTTCTTGCTGGTGCTCAGTAGCGAATCAGAAATGGACTGACCCTGATAAGCCTTATAAGCCATCCAACTGGTGGTTTCCTTTATTCGGAACCAAAGCCTGGGTTCATTCCATTTCTCATTCTCTACCGTGCCAGCAAGTAAAAAACCATGGTTAAAACCTGCTTCGCAAGGCAACCCTCCAAGACACCAATATTTTAAAGTGACCTGCGAACTGCGGCGTGATCCATTGGACTGGCCATTCAACCACTGTGGATGCTCACAGAAATCCCCAGGCAGAAGTTATGCGTGAAATCTTTTCTCCGGTCAGAACACCATCTTTCCTACCGATTTCGCTCCTGGGGTAGACTTAGGATACATCTTTTACATTTTACCAGTCAAAGGGAAGCAAAGAAAAGAATCTACATTCTAATCCTGGGCCTAAGTCTAGTCATGGCACCAGCCTGGTAAATGGAACCAAGGACTAAAATCTGCGGTCCAATTCCTGGTGTTTAATTTTGACCCATATCCATTTCCTACCGATTTTGCAGCAAGACTTGTCCCCCAAGATGGGGACCTCTAACATAGCTCGCTGCTCCCTTGTGTGACGCATAATGCGATGAAGATGCTAAGAGAAAACTGTTTGGAGGGAGCCATTTCTTGTCCAGCCCCACAAACTCCCATACAAAGCCTAGAGGGGGCAAAGGGGTTGCAAAGGCTTTGAGGCTTTGCTTCTGACTGGACGCTGTGGAATTTTGCTCTACCAAAAAAAGGCGAGCCTCATGCTCTTCAAAGGGGCTCCGCAGGCTTTCGCAGAAGCGGCGACCCAAATCCCAACTATTGCGCAACCATGGCCATGGCTAGCATGGAAAATCGTGATCAAAACAGACGCGCGGCGGGGAAACCACCTCTGGCCCAAAGAAAGGTTGTCCAAATGGGAAACTTGCAAATTGGATGGTCAATAAGTCGAGTTCAGCGTCACTGGAAATCGCACGAGTTTTCTTGGCCCATATTACTGTGGGTCAAAAATAGGTGCCCAAAATGGGGCAAGCCCTGGTAAATGGAAACATGGACAAAAACCTGCGGTCTTCTGGCAGTATAATTTTCACCCATACCCATATAGCCGGTAACCAAACATTTCAATATGTCCTTTTGTTCTCTTGTGGCCTCCCTTGGTTGGTGATCGGACACCTCCCTTTGTTTGCTCGTGGGAGGCTTTGGCCCTGTTCGTCTGCTCGCCCCTGACACACAGCCAGTCACTCCACATTGTGAAAGTCGCTTCCTGAGTGGATTGGCCACAAAAAGTACTATTTTTTTCTGCTTGCCACTAAACTGGTCCAACCCCAAAACGTGGCTCAGGTGGTCTGGAGGTTAGAGGGGCTCCCATCCACCCTCTACAAGGTGTGCAAATCCCAGGCAATCCAAACCACCAAGTCTTCGGGTGACCTGAAAAATGGTCCAAACCCACCAGCGCCTCAAGCCCAACCCCCCGGCAAGTGAGGCAAACTGGACTCCGAGGAACCGGCCTCCGGCTCGAAGGGCTGCGCCGTCCAGGCCGCCAGCCTGCGCAAAAGCTTCTCCCCGGGCGAAGAGGCCTCTTCCCCCCCATCCCCCCCATCTTTCAAGGAAAGGGGATCATGTTGACCCCATATGAACCTCTTCATTCATATGGTGGGGCCCCCTCATGTGGTATGAACCTGTTCATTCATATGGGGCCCCCCTCCGAAAGTGGTCTGATTCCGAATTTCCCGCTACATACGCTGGTTGGCTGATTCATCTGCGGTCAAGATGTTCATACTGTGGATGGTTGCAAAAATATGTTTCGAACCACATTGAAACCATGGAGAAACAAAGGGTTTGTTGTATTTCCGCGGGAATCGAATGATTTCAGGGTTCTCAGGTGGTGCAGGATTTCGTCCATCCACAGTATGGGGGGTGGGAGGCCCTCCGAAAGTGGTCTGATTCTGAAGTCCCCGCTAAAAGCACCCCCCTTCTTCATAAACTGCTTGGCTGATTCAACAAGGCATGGCCAAAAAAAAACGCCAACACACAGAATTCCCAAAAGAACACCCACAAAAGTTGATGCCAGACCAAAAGGGGAACGATACCACTGTGCGGACGAGAGGAAAACACCACGAAACATGCAAACCGAATACCCCCTGACGGCGCAAGAAACCCAACTCTACGTATTCGAAAGCGGGATCCCCTTGCGGCCAGCGAATATTTTGTGATGCACCCAAAAGACCGTAGATTACCCCCCCACCAAACACTTGCCGGAGAGCGGGGAGTTGGGTGCCCCCATCCCAGTTGTCTAGTCTTACAATATAGTAAGCCTATATGGACCGCTTGCAAGGTTATTACGTTTATGATGCTTTGTTGGTTTCAACATGAGCAGCAGTTACAGTATGGATTGCTCAGCGTGCTGGAAGGCTTCCCTTACAGGTTTGCAGGACAAACAGCAATTAAATGGTCGTCATCCACCCTCTCATGCCAAACCAGGACCCTCGGCGCCAGAACTGTCCCAAAGTCATCTTTTTTGCGCGAGAGGCAGGTTCAGGAGAAACGACGGCCTCTTTGCAGTGCAAATGTCACTCTAATTCCAAAACCTGAAAGCAGAATTGGATCCCCAAGTGAACAGCATGAGCTCGCTGAAGCCCCCAATCGGTGAGCTTGCCATAAGATAGGCAAAACCCTGTAATCAAGAGAGCCAAAATCCTTAGCCTTCGGATGGTGAGCTCGCCATAAGATAGCACCTATTTGGCAATGGGTCAAAAATATGTCACCAAAATGGAACCTTGGCAAATGGCACCCAAGACTCAAACCTGCGGTTTGCCCTGGCTGTTTAATTCTGAGCCACACCTATTTCTGGTTGGGACTATCCTTGGCCTTCGGCCCGAGTTTTGATCGCATCGCCTCGTGGCTCGGTCAGCCAGCTCCTGCAGCCGTTCCTGCGCCAGGGAACTGTGCACGAGCGGGAAATCGAGCGTGCAACAAATCGGGGAACTCCATGCCCTGAAGGATCCATGGTCAGCGTCCCTCCAATTGGTCTGGGTTGGAGCTTGGAGAGGGGTAATTATCCCAGCCACGCACAAGAAGCTGGGGGGTGGGGAGGGAGGGCGGGGGAGCCCCAAATAAGGCCTTGCGTAAGGCCTTTGGGCTCCCTCCCCCTCCCCTCCCCCCCAGCCTCCATGAGTTGGAAGCAGGTGTTCAAACCAGCTAAGGGTCACCTGACGTTCGGGTCTGGACAGAAACTACACAGGCTTCCAAACTGTCCTAAAGATCTCGGGCCTTCTTAGCACCCAAAGAGAGAAAAAGACACCCGAAGAAAAGAAGGTCCACAGAAAACACAAGAAACAAACCTAGCTTCTGGTCAACCCCAGAAACAAAGCATATAGTCTAGGGCTTGTTTTGGATACCCCACTAATTACCTCTGCATGCCCCCCCTGGAATGAGCGAAAAATTGGGCCATTTCAGTCGTGTAGCGGGAAGGGTCCTGACTCGGGGCACTAACGCCATCCGATCACGGAAACCAACATCTGCCATCTGCAGAGTCTGCCCCACCGAGGCTCGGAAATGATCGTGCCCCCAGTGTGTGTGCCTCAAAATGTTCGGAAAGCCCGAAATTGGTCACTCCCCCCCAAGCAAAATAGTTAGTTCCCTTTGAAACCCAACCAACAAATCCGCCAACACCAAAGAGAAACGGCTCATTCGCAGACATTTTGACCTGGAACCCACTATCTCAACTTTTAGAGTCCTGCTTCGGTGTTTTTGCGGTGTCGACTTACAATTCAATTCTTTGTTGATAGGGTCTGGCGATCGGATAATAGAAGCTGCCTGTTGAAGGGCTGCTTTGGACAGACCTCCAGAAGAATCAAAGGCACTTGAAGGGCCCGACAAGGGTGCATTCTGCTGTTGGTTGAACGGACATCAACAGGAAAAAACACCACTTTGCTCCCCTTTGGTGGCTCAAACACATGTTCCGAAATGGCCCCCTTGGTCAAAATCCCGTACCCCCAGTGAACATCCCAATCCCCCCCCTCCACGAATCGGCTGACAGGTACCGACAGCACACCCGAACAGTAGCAGTTGGGCCATGTTGAAGCTCATACTCCAGTTCTGAGACATCATCCGGGCTGTTTCTTCAGCATCATAGTCGGGGTGTCCTGTGATCTTCCATCCCTGGGCATAGAAGGCTGGGCAGTCCGAACTGTGTTGCCGGGAAGGATGGATCTGTCGGGTCCGCAGGATGCCGCGAGTACCACCAATACTGGAAGCGTGAGTCCAGAGCAGCATGGGTCGCGTCTTCGTTGGTTCTTTGAGCCTAACTGTGCACTAAAATACAGCCTCAAAGGGGTGGTGCACCTACCCCAAAATGGATCCCGTTGGCTTTGACCCAAACCCAGTTGACCAGACCGCAGAACTGCAGAACTCCCCTCACATGCGTCCCCCGACCTGGGGCCACCTCAAAATTCCACATGCCCAACCAGACGGTGCTCGCTCGCGGAACAGGCGGTCTTGGTTTGACGAAAGGATCTGAGCCACTGTCAAGAAGCGAATCCTCCATTTGCTTAAGTCCCCTGGAAAAAATAAACATATTTCAAGTAGTGATAGATTTTCTTTACAAACCAACAGGGGAAAATAAACAATATTCTTAACCACATGGAAGGAATTGGTGAGTCCCCGTGGACCTGACCTGTCTGTGCTTTTTTTGTGAAACTCATTCCCTCCCAAATTGAAGTGAAACGAAAAACCAAGGCATTTGGCGGATCCCCTCGTTTCGACATGCAAGGCAAAAACCAAATCGAAAGAAAGCGGCAGAGATTTGGAGCAAGCCTCCAGTAGATGACGCCTTCAAGAAGCTACATAGTGGGGAAGCAATCCCTGATCCCGTTACCACTATGGGTAACCATGTTCCTCAAGTAAGGTTGCCCCAGCTCTTGAATTTTGAGACACACCCTACCCTTCTGCCCTTGGTTTAAACGAGACTCAGAATTGCCACCTTGCCCCCCGCAATGACACACTCTCATACCTGCATCTCTTCAAAGTTAATAATTCCCACTCCAAAAAGAAAAACGTACTTTCTTCCATGCTGGAGTGATAATTTTCACTCCGTGTTAAAATGCCCGTTCGGGTAGTTTCGACTGCTCAGGCATCCGTTCGGACCCGTTCGGAACCCGTTCGAAACCCGTTCGAAACCCGTTCGAACCCGTTCGAACCCGTTCGTACCCGTTCGGACCCGTTCGGACCCGTTCGGAGGTACGTAAAAAATACGCCAACATTACGCAATAAGCCTTTGATAATTTATGTGCAGTGCTGATTTATGAACACTTCGATGCTAGTGAAAATATCCGTTCAAGAGTAGAAATACCCGTTCGAAAGTGGAAATACCCGTGTCCTCAGGCCAAAAAGTGCTTTTTCAATTTTGGAGTAGGCATTCTTAACTTCCAGGAGATCCAGGTACTGAAACCGCACCAATTTCTGGGCATAAATGGCCGTCGCTCAATCAAATGTTCCGAAATGGCCCCCTCGCTAATTAAGTGGAACCAAGGACCCAGTTCCTCCAGTAGAGAGGTTAGAATAAGAGTACCAACTTTTTTTCGTAGTCTATGTTAGTAGGGGTTTCCTCCCAACCAGAAAAGGGGTGAGAAAGGGCACCCTTTGCTGGGGGACCTAGCTGCCCAAAGTCAGCTCCCGGCTTGCTGGCCTTGTCCGCGGGCTCCTCCTCTTTTCCGCGGCAGAGCTGGCGTAGCTGATCCAGCCGCGAGGCGCGCTGCGCCCGCTGCTGCCAGCCCTGCGCAGAGCTTTCGCTTTTTCGGCTCGAAGCCGGCCCCAACAGACATCAAACAAAAGGGTCTGGGGACCCTGGGGACAGGAGATACCGGAAATCGAGTTCTTTTTCTTTTTCGTAGTTTGGCAAAGGTCCTGCAGACTTTCGTTGATCTGTGACTGGTTTCTATGAGTGCAGGTCCTGGGGATTGCAATCATTGGAATCATCTTTCAATGATTCCATTTGGCTGGGAAAGTAACTGTAACAATAAGTGGCTGGGGACCTAAGGTGAATGCCAACTAACATATTGCAAGTTAGCCCCCACCAAACCATGGGACATTCCAGCAAATTCGGGAGTTCTCCTACTTGCAACATTTACGGCATCGACCGTACCATAGCACACCTGAGCACCTAAATCTCGCACTCCAATGTGCTAGGGGAGGGGCCGAAACCAGCGAAGAAAGCGGCAAGCCGAGACTCAAGGTTGCTGGACAACCATACACAAATCACACCAAAACAACACGGAAAATCCACACACAGAAATAGGAAAACACTGATACAAATCACACAAAGTCCATACAGGAAGCCCAAAGAAACGAAGACCCTTTGTGAGGCTCTGCTTCAAACCACGCCTCTGGCGGGTCCTCGGCCAAGCAGACCTAGTGGCGGTGCTGCTGTTCTTGTCAAACTCACCCCGCGGCAAAACCAATTCACTGTTCGCTAGCCTTAGCCAAAAGGTCCATGTGGCAGCCCCATGTAGCGATTCGTCCCAGACAATCTAACAAAGGCTAGGGAGGACCCAGTGAGTTGAGGTAGGGTACATCCGAAGCGGATCTCAGATGCCTGGCCATGGGAACAAAGGGCATCCTTGTTTGGCTGGTTGAGTTTCAAGGGGAAGCCTTCCCCAAAAAAGAGGAACACAGGGCGGAATCCCCTGGGCCAAATCCGGCCAGAAATGCCACGGGACCTAGCTGACAATTGCCCATCTGCTTCCATTTGCTTAAGCCCACTAAAAAAAAGAAGTCTTTCCAGTAGTGACATATTCCCTTTCAAGCCAACAAGGGATTTGTCCGCCGACATTGCTCGGCGTGTCGGATACTTACTAGAGGATAGAGGATAACCCCCCCCCTAACCCCCCCCCGCCCGACGTCTATTACGTAGGTTTTTGGGGGGGGGGGGGTCCCCCACGTACCGCGCGGCAATTTGATGACGTTCCACTAAACGTAGTCTTCGGGGAGCCGGTGTCGCAAAACAGGGGTCCCAGGCTCGATTCCCCCTGCCGGCTTTTTTGCTGGCTTGGGCTTCCTGCATCCTTTTGCCGAAAATCTGGAAAAACTCAATGTTTTTGGACGTCCTCTTTGCGAAAACGCTGGAAAAACCGTGTTTTTTTTGCGGGAAATACTGGGGAGCAAAGGGGAAGTGCAAGGATACATACATACATACATACATACATACATACATACAGTACATTACATTACATTACATTACATGACATTACATGACATTACATACATACATACATACATACATACATACATACATGCATACATGTATGTAAGCATGCATGCATGCATGCATGCATGCACACATACATACATACGTACATACATTACATGCATTACATTACTTACTTACTTACTTACTTACTTACTTACTTACTTACTTACTTACTTACTTACTTACTTACTTACACTTACATACACATACATGCATACATGCATACATACATATACATACATACATACATGCATGCACAGACATACATACATACATACATACATACATACATACATACATACATTACATACATACATACATACATACATACATACATACATACATACATACATACATACATACATACATACATACATACATACATACATACATACATACATTACATACATACATACATTACATACATACATACACACATGCATTACATACATGCATACATCACATACATACATACATACATACATACATATACACATACATACATACATACATACATACATACATACATACATACATACATACATACATACATATACATACATTACATACATACATACATACATACATACATACATACATACATACATACATACATACATACATACATACATACATACATACATACATACATACATACATACATACATACATACATACATACATACATACATACATACATACATACATTACATACATACATTACATACATACATACATACATACATACATACATACATACATACATACATACATACATACATACATACATACATACATACATACATACATACATACATACATACATACATACATACATACATACATACATACATACATACATACATACATACATACATACATACATACATACATACATACATACATACATACATACATACATACATACATACATACATACATACATACATACATACATACATACATACATACATACATACATACATACATACATACATACATACATACATTACATACATTACATACATACATACATACATACATACATACATACATACATACATACATACATACATACATACATACATACATACATACATACATACATACATACATACATACATACATACATACATACATACATACATACATACATACATACATACATACATACATACATACATACATACATACATACATACATACATACATACACATATACATGCAACATACGTACATACATACATACATTACATACATACATACATACATTACATACATACGTACATACATACATGCATACATACATACATACATACTTACTTACTTACTTGCTTACTTACTTGCTTACATTACATATACATACATACATACATACATACATACATACATACATACATACATACATACATACATACATACATACATACATACATACATACATACATACATACATACATACATACATACATACATACATACATACATACATACATACATACATACATACATACATACATACATACATACATACATACATACATACATACATACATACATACATACATACATACATACATACATACATACATACATACATACATACATACATACATACATACATACATACATACATACATACATACATACATACATACATACATACATACATACATACATACATACATACATACATACATACATACACATACATACATACATACATACATACATACATACATACATACATACATACATACATTACATACATACATACATACATACATACATACATACATACATACATACATACATACATACATACATACATACATACATACATACATACATACATACATACATACATACATACATACATACATACATACATACATACATACATACATACATACATTACATACATACATACATACATACATACATACATACATACATACATACATACATACATACATACATACATACATACATACATACATACATACACATACATACATACATACATACATACATACATACATACATACATACATACATACATACATACATACATACATACATACATACATACATACATACATACATACATACATACATACATACATACATACATACATACATACATACATACATACATACATACATACATACATACATACATACATACATACATACATACATACATACATACATACATACATACATACATACATACATACATACATACATACATACATACATACATACATACATACATACATACATACATACATACATACCTACCTACACACATACATACATACATACATACATACATACATACATACACATACATACATGCATACATACATACATTACATTACATTACATTACATAAATTACATTACATTACATTACATTACATTACACATTACATTACATACATACATACATACATACATACATACATACATACATACATTACATACATACATACATACATACATACATATACATGCATACATATACATACATACATACATACATACATACATACATACATACATACATACATATGTACATGCATGCATACATACGAGAGAGGGAGAGTGGGGAGAGAGAGGCTTGGGGGGATGGGGAGGATGGGAGCAGAGGGAGGGAGAGAGGACGACAGAACACACGAGGGAGACAAGGAAGAGAGGAAGAAGGAGAAAAGGGAGAGGACAATGTCGGCGGACTGAGCCGGAGGCTCTAAAGTTTGCTTGTTTCTGCTTTTTTGGCTTCACTTCTCTTTTTCTTCTTTAAGCACAAAACATATTATTGCGCAAATGGAAGCCTACCTAGCGGGCGAGTGATCGCTGCCGCTGCCCATAGTGTCTAGCATGCCGGGGTCCCTGGTACTTTAAGGGGCGATCGATTCGGTACGTCAGGTAAGTGGTTAGTAAGCCTGGCAAAAGCCCACAAAAGCCATGGTTATAAGTGCTCGTTCAGTGGGCGAAAACCAGGCTTACAAGCCATTTACTAAGTGCCCCGTTAAGTAGTTCTTTAGCTTGACCATGAAGCAGGAAGGGAACTCAACACAAAAAAAGGTCTAGAGGGTGACACTGAACTGGAAATGGGTGACGCTTCGCAGTGAGTCTCCGGACTCTGAAGGCCATCATTGGCTTAACCTCACTTCAATTGGCTTAGACGTGAGGGTGCGTAACTTAGTCGGAACCATCCCAACCAAAACATCAAGAACCTCATTCTCACTGGACACGTCGTGTGGATTGAGCCCTTCAACGGGGGTTATTGGGGGTCAGGGCCTTCTGGATAAGCCTGAAACGACCCAAGGAGAAACCCCCAACATACGGCTTTACATTCAGGGTTTGATTGGTGATAGGTTCCCCTGCCAGAGACTCCTTTGGAGGTTCACCCACGTCTGTTTCTTCCCTGATCTAGGTTGTTTTTTGAGTTGTTGCTTGTTTTCTTCTTAATTGTTGATTGTTTTTTGTTGATTGAGCGCCATCTTTGATCTGGTTAAATGGACAATTCAAGGTCCGTGTCCTTTTCAAGGAGTAGATCTGGGCAAATTATATAAATGAATTCACCAACCAACATTCAGAGGGCGCCATGAACGGAACCTTCGGCATGCGTAATGTCGCAGAACCCCTGGACATGAAGTTGTTCTAGTTCGCCCAAATAGGTGGCACCTGTAGATGGGTTCGTGTTTCTTGGAGAGTACCCTTCCACCTTGAAGCGAAACCAAAAGCAAAACCTCTTCTGTTCCTTTTTTGGGGTGGGAGTTCAAAGCCTATTTTGACACCCAGCCATTTAAGCGGCAACTCCCCCTATCCAGGTCCCCCAAATGGACATCGCTCCCGACTCCCAATATGGATGGTTTTTTAGGATCCGTGTGAATCTGAAGGGAGTCCTACCCCTTAAAACTCCAAGCCCTGGGGAAGTTAATCTTTTACAGACATATAGCCCATGTTACCCAAAAAGTTTAAAAGTTGTGTTTTTAAGAGGTAAGGACTCGAAACTCGAACAAAAAAACTCTATCTTAGATGTTCCCTGGGGCCGTCCTTGACAGGCAAAAGAAGGCCGGAAAAGCTTGGGTTCCTCAACCCGGGTTCCTTGAAACACAGCGTGCGTTTTTGTTCAGCTGGCCTTCGGGCTGGACTTTTTGGACTTTTTTGACCCTCCCACTAGCATAGCACCTCAAGACCTCCATTTGCTCAAGTCCCCTGAAAAAAACAACAACATATGTCCAGTAGTGATAGATTCCCTTTGAAACCAACAGGGGAAATAACAAATATTCCTTTCATGCAAATGGAAGAAAAGGTTCCTTTAAGCGGAAACTCATTTCCAGGAACCCTCCCACCAGCAGGTAGCTTGCTGGGTCTGAGGCCCAGACCATGGCCTGCACAGTGCGCCCGAAGTGATCTGGCTGCAGATTCTGGGCGAAGACCTAAGATGGGAACTCACCAGAACTTCTCTGCTGTTACATAGGAAGCTCACTTTAGGCTGGCTCAAACAGGAATGGTTGTCTTGGTCGACGTTGGAAGGGGAGCAAAGACAAAGAATCTTAGCAGTTCAGTGGGGATTGCCCACTAAACCACAATAAGCAAAAGTGCAACATGTTTCTCAACAACAACCATGTTCTATGCTGGGGATGACATAGGAAACTTGAAGCTGGCTCAAACAGGAATGGTTAATTATAGCAGAAGGACAATAGGGAGGTTTGCTGTAGATGTGAAATTGTGACTGTTCAATTTTGAGGCTTGGCCGGGATGGATCGCCGGGCGCCATCCGCGGCCCGGGACGTGTTTTATGGTAACTGCTGTGACCGAATCGTCTTGTCGCTGGTTCATACCTCGAGGTCCGAATCAATCTCCGGTTGCTGGTTGCTGGGTGTGGCAGGTTAGGACCCCAACACCGGAGCCCCTTGTAAGTTGCGGTTAGACCCCACAATGGGTTCCCCCAGTCACTATTTAGCACATTCCTGGGCCATCGATACATCCCAAAAGCGAAACTGAAGGGGCCCAAAAGGGCAAAAATGCAACACTATCACCCATCAAGAGAAAAACACCCATCAAAAAGTGCCTAAAAGGTGATGTCCAAACGTGCCGAAATATACATAGATACATATACATATATGACATTTCGGGGCAACAGGTGACCCAACTGTACCAAACAAAGCGTATGATTATGCTACATAGTTTAGTCAGCCTCCAAAATATATCATATAACATTTTTGGGAAGAGACCCCAGGTCGTACAACTTAGTTGAGTCTGGACTTTACCACATGGCCAGGATCTTTAATGGGGAACCACGTCAAAAGTGATTGGTGGACATAAATCCCCACCTAAATGATGTCCACCAAAGGGTCCGTTATCAAAAATCATACCCACATCCACCTGTCTGAATGTGGATTCGGCGGTCTCGCCAAAAAAAAGCATCTCGATCTCCCCAATCGGCCGAGCTTTCCACCGGATACTGCAGCAAGAGCTTGCACACCTGCACGTGTCCTGAGGTGAAACATGGCGCGTGGGGATTGAGATCTTCCTCGTTTGGGGCTCTCAAACGAACCCCCTCCCCTGGAAAGAACAAAACACATACTTCAATGTCCAAGAGTGATTCATTCCCTTTAAAACCAACAGGGGAACCCACAACATATGCTTCATCAAATGGAAGAATGGGAGTTCAAAAGGGACTTCAAGGGGAAACAACCATCCTTTGTGGGGCCGGGGTGCGCTATTATAAGGTCCTGAAATCTTCAGACCATCACCTTTTGACCAACGTACTGGATTGGAAGCTGCTTTCTGCTTTCAGGGAAAAGCGGATGATGAACGAGTGAATGGACATCCGGGCAATGTGCGTCTTGGACCAATGTGCCGAACATGGCCGAATCTGAGCAGCTTGTTACACACAACGCTTATAAGTCAACCATGAAACAGCACCATGAACATATTGTGGCACACTGAATCGGCTTTGTTTCGACTTGAATGATTCGTAGGACATTTAGAGCGGATGCTAATTCAGTCTGGATCATTCTCACCGAGCCAGAACCAAAACAAGGCCCAGTTGCATCCTAGAAATGATTCAACATGACAAAGTGCCAAAGGAGTCGACCGCCTACCCGTTAAACGATGTCAATCAAAAGGGCACATATCCGCACCTGAAGCTCGTGCCTGGGTTTGCCTGTTTCTCCAATTGTCTGATTCAACCGGGCACGGCTAAACGATGGCAAATAGACTCACGGAAAAGTACGAGGAGCGACGGGATTCCACAGCCGCGGCGCGTCTTTGAGCGTACTACTTGTGGGGTGGTGTAAAAATGGCAAAAGTAGAACGGTGGGAACCCAACCCCGGGACTCCGCCGCCCCAACCCGTTCTGTTTGTTGAAATCGCCCTTTTTGGGGTGGTTGTGAAAGAAAGCTCACCCCCATGGTGGGTCCGATTCCCTGTTAACCCACACCAAACGGCGCTGAGAATCGTCCAAAAGAAGGCTGTGGGTGTTCCTCAAAGCAACGGTCCCAGTTTGGGTGGTTTTAAGGGACAACCTAAAGGAAACCAACCACCTAAAGGGTTCCCAATTGGGAGAAAAGTCCCATGTTCCAAGGGGTCCCCAAAAAGATCTTTCAAGACTTGCTCCAGGTTTTTCTGCGCAACCTTTTCAAGGGACCCTCAAGTGGTAACAAGAAACTGGCTGGAAGACTCCAATATGTCACACACAAAATCCGGATCCAGCGACACACAAAGATTCAAAGAGCCTCGAGAGGGGCCTGAAGATGAGAAGTGTCCTCTGACAGTTGCGCTGCAATCCCCGAGGCCTAGAAAAGCCAAAAGCTGTGGAGAAACAGAATCCTCCAAGGCCGCACCGTGTGGACTGACCATTTGCGTAGTTTCTCAGAAATGGTCAAGCATCCTAAAGGGAGTCCGCCTTTGTCAGAGAAGAAGCCGCCCCATCTTGGCGAGGTCCTCTAGACAGGTTAGAATAAGTTGGTACCCACTTTTTGCCGCAGTCGAACTATTTAGGGGAACCAATCCTCCCCCCCAAAAAGAAGAGGTATGTGAGAGAAGGTCACCTTGGGACCCAGACCAGGCGGCTACCAGCCACCAAGCCTCGGGGTTTTCCCCGGGACCCCGCCTCGTGACGCGGCGAGGTGCATGGCCGTCATGCCGTCCTCGCGAAGGAGAAAACGCGAGCGAGGCCTGGATGCCTGGGCGCTTGATGAAGACGGGACACTCCCATTTCCGTTTATCTTTCCAAGGATCCGTTTGTCTTTCCAGACCATCAGAACGCCAGAAACAGCGATCGGCCGTTGAGAAGAGAAGGATATGGTTGAAAAGAATGGACAAGGAATCAAGCCCAAGAATGGTCCAGCGGTTTGGATTTGGAGTTGGAGTTGATTCAACCCTTGGTTCAACCCAGCCGCCAAACCAGTCCAAGCTGAAGGATTGTCACCAAAAAACCCGTGGGTTGGTCGGAAAGAAAGATCTAGATTGCCCTTCTTCCACCTTTGCTTTATCCTTGTATTTTATGGGTCAAAGGCATTGCAGGTCCACGAAACCCTGATTCCTCTTGCTGGTTCGATTTGGTAGTTGTGTTTTCTTCATTTGTGCTTTTGGTGTTTTCATGTTCTCTGTTCTTGTTGTGTTTTTCTTTGGGGGGGGGGGTGGTTTTCAAATGGGGGGGTGTTGGGAATGAAAAGGCAACCAGGGATGGTTTAACTCTGTCCTATCAAGCCCCCGCAAATCTCCGGGCCGAAGTCCTAAAGCCGACTTTGGGGGACCCGTGACAACTGACAACCATGGGATCTATAGCATCTAAAGCGGACAGAAAGACCCATACTGTGCATGGTTGCGAAATCCATTTCGCACCACCGAACTCAGAAACCCAACGAAAAACCCCAGAATGATGAGATGTCCCCCCACAAAAGCCACGTGCCTTTTTTTCTCCATGGTTTCCAAGTGGTGCGCAACGGATCTGGTCCATCAGGCCATTAAGCTTCGCCCACCAGGCCCCAATTTTGGACGAGTCCGGGCCCGAAGCCCCAAGGCCTGCTCCCGGGCGTCCAAGCACTGAAACCTCCGATGCTGCACCAGGACCTCCGTCTGATGCGACTCGGAGCACCGTCTGACGCTCTGACGCTCTGGCTCGGCGACTCAGCCCCAAAGGGTCAAAGGATCCACCTTTGATAGGTTTACGGAACTTGGTCTAAAGAATTCCATCACCTTAGGCGAAGAATCCATCACCTTTGATAGGCGAAGAATCCATCGCCTTTGATAGGCGAAGAATCCATCGCCTTTGATAGGCGAAGAATCCATCCCCTTGGTCCATCACCTTACCTTTTTGAAACTTGGTCTGAAGAATGAGGTCCTGTCCTTGGATGGTAAAGGAGCTAAGTTGGCACCCCCAGTCTCAACCCCCCCCTTTGTCAGTTGTCCCTGAAAGGTGTTTCTGAGGATCCCCTTAAGCAGTGGGAATCCGCGAAGGAACCCCCAGGCCAAGCTGAAAGCAAAAGCTGAAGTGGGCAAGCCATCTGGCCAGAAACCTACCGTGCATGGTTGAAATCGAAATCCGAGTCGCACCACGAACTGAAACCATGGTTGAAACCATTGCTTGTTGATAGGTACAGGGGAAATCGACTCATTCTAGGGTTTCTGGGCAGGTGCGAGAAGCGGATTCCGTCCGTCGCGGTAGGGTTTGTAATCTTGTCTACCACCCTAAGCATTGCATCATTGGACACCTTGCCGTTCTTGAGGCCCCACGACTCCGGCGCTCTCATTTTGGCAAAGAAATATGTCCCAGACTACCTGTTAAACGGGCCAACGAATGAGAACAGGATTGTGGAGTACCTTGCAACCCCACGAAGCTATGATCATAGGCGATTAACACGGACACATGTGGGTAAGCCTACCCTTCGAATTGACAATGGGTTGCTTTTCAGAAATCAAAGCTGATCCTTTGTTGGGGCTGCCCCTAGTTCCACGTAGCTGCACCCCCAAACTAGCCTGGACAAGCGAAGGTGCCCTCAAACAATGGGTGACTTCCATACTTCTAGGGATAGCTTCCCCATTCTTTCCAGGCATCCGGATCTTTCTAGAAACCACCCAAAACGCTGGGGAAATGGCGATCGGTTTTTCAAGGAACGATGGCTGAAAAGAATGGACAAGGAATCAACCCCTAGAATACTGTATGTTGCAGGTTTTCCCCAACAGCTGAAAGCTTTGGTCGCCCAACTAGCTTCTTTTCGGTTTTCGGCGCTGTTCGGAGTGGCTCAGGCCATTATGTTGGGGATACCACACTTTTTGAGGGGACCTTCTGTTGGCTTCAAAGGGCATCCAAAAAAGCAACGTTCTTTTCCCCAAGTAGCCAGATAGCTGCAAGCTTTAGGGGTTCTAACTTCTAATAAAGAGGGGAAGTGATTTGCGAGATTGACGGCAGGGCTAGGGGGCATGCAGTTTGGGGTGCTGGCGCAGGTTCTATTTGAGGTGCTGCTGACGGGTGCGGGCGCAGTTTTGCGAGATTGCCAGCCGCACATTTGCGCAGCCAATGTTTTGCAGCCCATTTGTCGGCAGCGATGCGTGTGTAACAACAAACGAGCAGTGATCCTCGACTGTTTTGCTCTATCTGGGGTCTATGCTGGTGCTTTTTGTATTGCTTTTCTCGGTTGCTTTCTGCTCCCCTGCCAAAAGTTTAACTTTTGACAGTTTCATTGGAAAACCCATTCGTTGGCAAAAAGTTAAAGTCCCAACATTCAAGCAACATGCACCAAAGTATTTTGGGCCTCGACTGTTTTACGCTCTCTGCCGCTATCTGGGGTCTATGCTGGTGTTTTTTTGGTTTTGCTTTGGGGGGGGGGGGGTTCCTCCAGTAGAGAGGTTAGAATAAGGGTACCCTTTTTTACCCTCCCAACCAAAAAGAAAGGATGAGAAAGGGTACCTAGCTGGGGGACCTCCCCTTATTCAAAACCTTTCCCCTTTCTGATTTCTTGATTGTGGGAACCAGGGTGAGCCTGCTTGCGTGGCCGAAAATCTCCGGGAAAAAAGGTAGGAGCATTCGTTCGAGTGACTGCAAAAGACTTCCCCGCGTGTCCGCGCCTCGCAGGCGCCGTAGCCGCCGAACTCCGCCGCGAGGTGCAGGGCGGTGCGACCCTGGAAGTCCTGACGTCAGAGAAATTTGGGGGGTTGCAGGTTTGGGGTTCCATTCGTTTCTCAGCCTTTTCAGGTTGCAGGTTTGTTTCCTTTAGCCCAAAAATAAGGTACCCACCCAAAGCAAAGGCTCTTGTCTGGGTTTCAACCCCCATGGGTTCATGGGTGCAGTTGTGAGGCCTCTCTTCCTTGCTTCGGTCTGCAGGTCTACCTGGAGTCCCCATGACCCTTAAAAAAAGGTTGGTCAGTACCTAGAACGATGGGGTCATGGACCTATTATTACAGGGTCATGGAGACTGCAGGTAGCTCTTTTCTTCGGCTTTCTCGCGTGAAAGGAAAATGGGTGGTTACCTCTTATAGTCAGCTTCCTTCTAATTGGTTTGAAGCCCGGTGGTTTGGTAGTTGAACAGGGGCCAGCAGTTCAAATCCCAAAACCACCAGTCCAAACCACCAATTCGCGGCTACCTGAAGTTGGGCGTCTCAGAGAGGTCGCTGTGTTTCAGGTAAGCCTTTGGTGGTTTAGGCGATTCGAACCCGTCCTTTTGGGGATGCTCTTTGGTGTTGTGTTTTTTTGGCCATGCCGTGTTGGCTAATCTTAACCCCACATTCATCAACCAACCAGCTTGTTAATAGGGGAGCTTTTCTCTGGGTGAAATGTGGGGAACCAGACGACTTTTGGAGGGGAACACCCCCCGTATTCATCAACGGGGGTTTATTAATCAGGGTCAACATCAAGCCTTTCGTGGTTTAGAGTGGGGATTTGAACCCCTGCCTCTTGAGGGACAATGGGAATTGTTCCGGGTCACAGGTCTTTCACTGGGTTCAGCCCAGGAAAATCTAGGGAACCCCGTCCCAAACCCCAAACACAAAAGCCGGGCAACCCCTTTTCTTGGGCGGGTGAATTTGAAGGAAGTCCCTCCAAAAAACAACGCAAAAACCACGAAACCCCATTTTCTCGGGTGGGTGACTTTTTTGGGGCCATCCAAAAGGATGACAACACATGGAAACTTTGCACCTGCTGGCCTCCTTAGCTTAGGATCAAAGTCACCCAAGTGATGGGTTCAAGGGAAACAACCGATTCCATTTTCTGCCTTTGATGGGAGAATCGAACTTCTGCGGGGATACGGAGGGAGCGGGTCCCGATATGGGGGGATTCCCTTGGCGCTCCCATATCAAACTTAGTCAAGGTGCATTTCGGGGAAATCCTCCCGTATCCCTGGTTCCCCCTGTATCCCTGCCAGTTGGTCTCTTTGACAACCCCTAGAAACAATCAAACTAATGCAGGGACCCTGACATTATACACCACAGCTGTGGGGAGCGATATTCGGTCTGTGTAAGGAGCCCCGTGCGCCGAGACCCGAGACCTGCGCCTCTCGGCCAAGCGAAGCGGAAAGCTGCCAGATCCTGCGCCTCCGGCTTGCGGAAGAAGCGGTGCTCCAGCAGCACGAAGCACACCTCCCCTGGCCCCGAAACCCGAGACGCACAGCCGGGTGAGACACAGCGCCGGGTGCGCTAGGTTTTTCGATTTTTTCAATTTGCCAAAGGGGTGGGGATTCCATTTTCGGGGGATTTGCGGGATTTTGAGCCATTTGGGGATTCCATTTACCCCATAGAGCCATTTGAAAAATTCCATTTTTGCTCCAGCCACACTGTCTCACTTACGATCCAGGTGCCCAGAATGGTCACTCGCTAGAGCTCTCGCCCTCCTCTGCAGCGCCATCATCAGGCTGGTCCAGCACGACTTCCTGGAAATGCTCTCGGATGAGGTCGCTCAGGGACTGCCAAAGCATGTGGCCCTCTTGCGTGAGACGAAGGGAGCGCTGGTCAAGCAAGTTACTCACCCAGGCCAAATGAGTCTGGTCGATGGCCAGGCCCCAGTACTTCTTGCCAGCCGTGGGCCTTCGTGGCCTGCGTGGTGAGCTCCGTGGGCTCCGTGATGAGCCCGTGGCCTCCGTGGCCTCCGTCGGCTCCGTGAGAGCTCCGTGGTCGTAAAAAGCAGTTTCGATGGCACCCATTATGGTTGGGATTAATTATCCCTTACAAATCTTCATCTACCGGGGTTCATTGTGGCGAGTCATTAAGCCTGGTACAAAAATGGTCAAGGGCGTAAATAGTTAGAATGGGGGTGCGGAGGCCAACAAAACACTTTACCGTTGACGGCTCAAAACAACGTCTGTTCATTTGGGAAGGGATTTGGACCTAAGCTTCGGTGTTCCTGTCTCTTCCAACCAAACGGATCCATTTTCAGAGGGTGGAGAAACCGTTCCAGGGTGTGTGTGTGTGTGTGGGTGGGTGGGTGGGTGGGTGGGTGGGGGTAGGGGGTGGGTGCGTGGGTGCGTGCGTGCGTGCGTGCGTGCGTGCGCGTGCGTGGGTGGGTGGGTGGGTGGGTGGGTGGGTGGGTGGGTGTGGTGGGTGTGTGTGTGGGTGTGTGGTGGTGGGTGTGCGTGCGTGCGTGCGTGCGTGCGTGCGTGCGGTGCTGTGCGTGCGTGCGCGGCGCGCGCGCGGCGCTGCGCTGCGCTGCGCTGCGCTGCGCTGCGCTGCGCTGCGCTGCGCTGCGCTGCGCTGCGCTGCGCTGCGCTGCGCTGCGCTGGCTGCGCTGCGCTGCTGCGCTGCGCTGCTGCGCTGGCTGCGCTGCGCCGCTGCTGCGGTGCGCGGTGCTGCGTGCGGTGCGGTGCGGTGCGGTGCGGTGCGGTGCGTGCGGTGCGGTGCGTGCGGTGCGTGCGGGTGCGGTGCGGTGCGTGCGGTGCGGTGCGGTGCGGTGCGGTGCGGAGCGGTGCGGTGCGGTGCGGTGCGGTGCGTCTGGTGCGGTGGGTGCGGCGTGTGCGGTGCGGTGCTGTCGGTGCGGATGCTGCGGTGCGGTGCGGTGCGGTGAGGTGCGGTGTGCGGTGCGGTGCGCGGTTGTGCGGTGCGGTGTGCGGTGCGGTCGGTGCGTGCGGTGCGGTGCGGTGCGGTGCGTGCGAGTGCGGTGCGGTGTCGGTGCGGTCGGTGCGGTGCGGTGCGGTCGGTGCGGTGCGGTGCGGTGCGGTGCGGTGCCGTGCCGTGCCGTGATCGTGCCGTGCCGTGCCGTGCCGTGCCGTGCCGTGCCGTGCCGGCCGTGCGTGCCGTGCCGTGCCGTGCCGTGCCGTGCCGTGCCGTGCCGTGCCGTGCCGTGCCGTGCCGTGCCGTGCCGTGCCGTGCCGTTGCCGTGCCGTGCCGTGCCCGTGCCGTGCCGTGCCGTGCCGTGCCGTGCCGTGCCGTGCCGTGCCGTGCCGTGCCGTGCCGTGCCGTGCCGTGCCGTGCCGTGCCGTGCCGTGCCGTGCCGTGCCGTGCCGTGCCGTGCCGTGCCGTGGTGTGCCGTGCGTGCGTGTGTGTGTGTGTGTGTGGGTGGGTGGGTGGGTGTGTGTGTGTGTGTGCGAGGGTGTGTCTACTGGACTTTTCAATACCTATCCCTTTGTGAGTTCCTTTCAAACAGAGGCAACACAGAGGATGCCATCTACATCTAGCAAGAACAAGAGAACCGCCAAGTTCGGCGCTTTCCATGGTGGGGCTAAGTGCGGTGGCTTGCAATCTTTTTGTCCTCCCTGGATCGCCAGTTGCGATTGCTTTTTTCCAACCACTTTACCCCAAAAACCAGCAACGGTGACTGACAAAAGCGATCGCAACTTGGTTATCTAGGTCCTTGAAAATCCACCAAAAGGCGCCCCAAAGACCCCAGACGCGCGCCTTTTTTTCATGTACCGCGCGCCTCGGTTCTCCTGGGCCGCCACGTGCAAGGCCGTGCGGCCCTGCAGGTCCAAGTCCTGGCGTCAAAAGGCGGTGGCGGATGGAGTCCTTGGGTGGAAAGTCATGAAGGATAAGCCCTTAATGCCTTATTAAGGGCTTAATAAGGGATAGCCCCCCCCATAGACCCCCTTGGGGGTCCATGAGAAAAGGGGGCAGGGGCGTGGTGTGAAAGGAAACGCTGAGCTGGCGTTGCTGCTGACTCTGCAAATGCTTAAGACCTTTTCTGGGCACAATGCGGAAAACCCGAGCTGTTTCAAGCAAAAAGTTGAAGTCCAAAAATCCAACCAAGTAGCCATAAAGGCAGGGGGGACCAAGATTCTTGAAAAGGGGAGCCAAAGGAAGAGGAAACGCTGAACAATTCTGAGACTGACCCCTTTTGAAATTACGGGCGAAAGGGAACAGAGCTGCAGGGGTCCCCGATTTTGAGAAACAGCCGTTGGACCTTGGAGGTCCGTGGGTTGTTCTTCCCTTGAGTTTCCATCCAAAAGTATTCCTTTGAGAAGCCCTGGGGACCCGAAATGGAGGGGGTGTTCTGGGAGGTGGCTTCCCCCAAAATTATGGAAATTCACACTCACCCCTCTCGTACCCTGTTTCAGGGGTTCCGGGTCGGCTCACCTCAGGGATCCATGTCATAGATAGCTCAATCGAATCTGGGCAAGAGAAGAACGAATTCAGATCGGTCTTCCTCTTGGAAAACAAACACATATGGGAAACCCTTGTTGACGCTACTCTTTCGGCATGATTTTCTCAAAGGGAATCAGAGCAAAACCCACCAATTCTTCAGGCATTGAAAGGGGACCAAAAGAACACCAACCAATTGGATGGTTTAAAACCAACCAATTTGCAGGGTCCAACCGGTTTTTGAGTATCCATATTGCGGATGGACGAAATCCACTTCGCACCACCCAAGAAACCCTGGAATGGTGAATGCCCTGTATGTACCAACGAAGAATGGTTTCCCATGGTTTTAAAATGGTGTAGGATTCTGTCCACCCGCAGCATTGCCATTTCGCACCCCAGCGGCAGAAGCGAGCCAAGCCGCCTCCGCTTGGGTGAAGAAGGGGCACTCCAGCAGCGCGAGGCCTCGGCGTCGATGGGAAACCCAAACTTCGGTTGCTTCTGTTTTGCTGGAATAATGATAATACTCAATCTGTCGATCAGGTACTTAGTAAGTGGTTAGTAACTGTGGTGAGATAGCCCACTTGCCATGGTTTGTTTAACAACGATAATGATAACAAACAACAACTAATAATAAAGAAAGTCATAAATATAGCACACATATATTAGAGAGGTTGAATAGGAAAAGGTAAGCTGTAACTGTTGGTTCAATCAGCTGGTTTAGCAAGAACACACCTTTTTTGTTAAGAGGAATGCGTTTTAAGTTGCTTTGCCGTCTCCTGAGACTTTGGGTTGAACTTTTGCTGGGAAAGGAATGGATATCCAAGAATCCAAGAAGGCTAAATTAAAAATCAGCTACGACGGTGAGCTAAGTCTGGCAAAGCAGATTGACCTAATGCCACAAGTTAGACTTACTCATTGCATCAGCACAATCAATCCATCCCCATTGTACGTACGATCGTATGACGATAGACTTGCAGGATATGTCGCTTGTCGTAAATCCTTGACTCTGAAAGTCCAACGTTTAAAGGTGGTTGGCAACGGTGAACATGGGCTCAAGAAGAAGGGCACCGTTTTGTTGCTAGCTCGGAGCCTTGTTTGCCCACCAATAGAAGTGGCCGTGGTTCATAAGCTCGCGCGTTTTGCTCCCACGCCCTCTTGTAGGAACGGCGTTGGGGCAAACTCCGTGAAAAGTGACACGGCGAAGGCCCGTCCAGTCCACGGCACCATGGAACTCCATGAGCACGTGTAGGTGCAGCCGGCCCGCATCCGCCGACCGCAGTGACCTTTCCATTGTCGCCGTCCACGTTTGGGAGAACTCCAGTGTGTGCAACCAGGCAACAAACTCGTCCCAGATGGCCTCGTCGAAGGAGGCGCTGTTAAAAGTGAAGAGGCATGACGACCTGCAAAGACCTGGAAACCAAAAGCTAACCTTTTGAACTTTGAAGAGCAATGGACCAACCAGAAAAACCAAAAGGGTAGCTTGTGGACGGCCCTTTGAACTCCTTTTCGGCTTTGGCATACCAGAACTCGGTTGCTTTCTGCTCCCCTGCTAAAGTTGAACTTTTAGTGGTTTAATGGACAACCCATTAGTTGGCAAAAAGTTACAGTCCTAACATCCAAGCAAAATGCACCAAAGAGAAGAACCGGGTGCAGACTTTAAGGCACACCATGTCAAAGCCTCGCCTCGTTGAAACCAAATGAGCCAGGGTGGTGACTGACATGGAGACAAGCCGTTTGTGGAGATTTTAAGGTCTGAATCCCCCTTGGCCTTCCCAAATTGGCCATCTGGACATTTCGACGCCTATGTCCGATGTCCGTCTTTGTTTCCTTCTCATGCTTGGGATGACACCTGGAAATGAACATTCCACATTCCAAGATCCTGAGCCATGGGAGGGTCTCGGGACAAAAAAAGAACCCTCCCGAAAAATCATGTGAGTCATAATCAAAACCTGGAACAAAATGATGAACCCAGAACCATGCTTCAAGAACTAAGAAGGCGGATGTCCGCAGCTATTTATGGCTGGGATCGTCCCTTACAAACCTTCATCTACCCAGGTTTTGATTGTGGCTCATGTGATTCCTGAACTGACCCAAAGAGAACTTCGAGTCTTGACATGGGCAGTGCCAGCTGACAGAAACGGAAACAACACAGGGCTGTCAAAATAGAGTCTTGGCCAATCCGAATCGATCATCTCTGGTGGACACCACTACAAAGGAAACTCCTTTCGTAAGCCAGGCCAAAGATTAGCATGGTCAAACATCCTGATAAGCTTCTGGTTGAGGATCCTTACCACGTGGATGACTATCCCCGTTAACCGGCAAAGGAACCCGCCTTTTGACCATTGCCCCTATGGCTTAAGCTCCCTGAACAAAACATGTTGCCAGCAGTGCTGATTTTCAACCAGAGGAAGATTAGCAATATCTTCTCAAGTAATGTTGGCCCCATATCAATCAAGCCCTGCTTATATTAATAGGCGGGTGTTCCCCTCCAAAAGTGGTCTGCTTCCCCACTACACCCAGGGACACCCCCCTACAGTGCATGGACAAAATCCTGCACCACCGAAGAAACTCTGGAATGATTATTTTCCAGTAAATAGCAAATAGCAATGGTTTCAACCATGGTTTCACAGTGGTGCGCACGGATTTCGTCCATACCGAAGGATCGGGGGTCGGTTAACTAGGTCCCCTAGCTAGGGGCCCTTTCTCACGCCATTTTTGGGGAGGGTTCCCCTACTAAAATAGACTACAGAAAAGTTGGTACCCTCTTTACTGCAGGACCTAGCCTCTATTTGAGCCACTTGCTCAAAACCTGGGTAGATGAAGGCTAGTGAGGGACCATCCCACCCATATAGCTGCGGACATCCACCTTCGTAATTCTTTACATGGTTCTGGGTAGACCACTTTATTACCAGGTTTTCATCATGACTCATTTCCCCTTAAGAATGGTAAGGACCCAAAATTTGGATTATGACAACTCATGGAAGCGCCGGACTGGACCTCACAACTCTCAGCTTGCGACACACCTCCGCGCTTCCGCTGGCCGCCCAGTGCAAGGCCGTGAGGCCGCCTGCGCGGGCAAGTGGATTGTGGCGAGAAGAGCTTCGGGCCGGAGACTCTTGGAAAGGGGGCGCAGACAAAATCGACATGTATATATACTCGGTTGGTTTCTGCTCCCCTGCTAAAAGTTTAACTTTTGGTGGTCTATTTGGAAAACCCAGTAATTGGCTAAAAGTTAAAGTCTTAACATCCAAGCAAAATGCACCACAGCATGTTACGTGTGTATATATATATATATATACATCTACACACATGCAAACTCACCAACACAGTGGGAAACAAACGGCTCAAACTCACACTAGTCTTACTCAAACCGGCCTCAAACAGTTGAAAAGGAGGAACTTCTAGGCGGTCTCAAGACCCAGCACGACGCAAGGAATCACATCCTTCTGCGACTCGCCATCGTGACCGCAACCACCCCAACCACCAAACCAGGGTCCATGGGAGGGAGGGTTACCCATATATACATACATGTATACATTGCATATGTTCTGGTTAAGAAACGTATCTGTTTGGTCTGAAAATGCAAACTCATGTTTGAAAGAGACCGAGTACTGTGGATGGACAAATTCCGCTTCGCACCGGTTGGCCAACCAATGGGGACATTTGTATCTGATAGCTGTATCCATGTGGAACTCCTTATGTAACAAACTTCCATCTGTCACATGTCTCCTTTAAATGTTAAAAAAAGTTGACTTTTGGGGGGGCGGGGTAGGATATTATATGTGTATATACATCTCTCTCTCTCTCTCTCTCTCTCGCTCTCTTTATTTAGAAACCACTTGGAGATCTCCCAAAAGATGGGGAACAATTGGGGTTGCGTGTCGCTTGGCAGTCACTGCTGGTTTCTCCCGTTCTCAACTCGAGTTCTACGCCTCACTTCCTGGCTCCGGATTTTTCTGTGACCATCGGTTTGGCCGAATCCCATGGGTCCAGCCGCGTTTCGTCTGCTTGAAGGCGTCTAGGCGGCTAGGGTTGCGAAGGTTTTAAGCATGGGGAGTCACCTGGTGCGAGAGCTAGGGAAAATGGAATGAACCTGGGGGTTCCGGTTGCCCTGCGAAGGTTCTAACTATTCTTCACTTGCTGGTGCGATAGAGAATGAGAAATGGAACCAGGCTTTGGTTCCGGAAAAGAACCACCAGATGGATGGTTGCAGGGTTCATTCCCAAAAATCCCTGCCTACGACAAATGGCTTCCCATGGTTTCAACGTGGTGCGAACGGATTTCGCAACCACAGTATGATTATGTTCACAACAAATCCGAGTTGAAGTGCTTTGAAAGGATAAGTCACACGAATCACAATCGAAACCCGGCATTAAAATGGTCTACCAAGAACCATGCTTCAATAATTAAGAAGGCGGATGTCCGCAACTATTTCTGGCTGGGACTGCCCCTTACTAACCTTCATCTACCCGGGTTTTGAGCAAGTGGCTCATTCGTCAAACATTCCAGCTTTGAAAGCATTGGCTCAAATGAAAAAACTTACAATTTGAGATCCCGTTAAATTTGAGCTCATTTGTCCATCCAATGGTTTCCAGTTACTTCCAGTTTTGATTGTGGCTCACACTTGGCTGACGTTGGAAGGATTGGAAGGGGAGCATTTTTGGTTAAGCAGTTCAGTGGTTGGAGCTCAACCACTAAACCACAAGAAGATCAAACAGGGTAAAAAATGTTTCCCAACAACAACCAACCACCAGTAGGACATCAGGAATCCACCCCTAAAAACAAAATGTGTCCCAACAGCAACCATCGGCACATGCCCGTCACCAGCTCCGCTTCTCTGTGGGTATTTCCCAAGACGTCTCTGACCGCCCGACCGCGAGATCCCTCCCTGACCTTTCCGGTGCCCAGTGAATGTCCACCGGGAAGACAAGAATCGGCATCCCGTTTTCGTTTTTTTTTGGGTTGGTTGACTTTAGAGGGGAACCCTTGTGCACTGGGCAACTGGGTTGTTTCTGCAGGTGCCCAAATTGAATGCTTGGCAAAGCCTGCGATGCCCCTCTCTGCATGCCAAGTGGTCTGCCAGTGTACTGTGTGCGTATCGCCGTCGCGGCAAAGAAGCAATCGTGCTTCACACGACTGCGTTGTGGGTCCGGAAATTTCATGGTGAGCATCCACATTACCCTCTCATCAGGGAACCTCACAGAAAAGGAATGGAAGATGTTCCTTTCAAAGGGACCCCTGATAAGTTCCATGTCAATGGAATTCCAATTCTTCCACTCTGGGGTCCCGTGTGTTGTCGTTTTCTGGTAGGGCTGGGACCCGTTCTACAAATGGCCATGGAACCAAATCACCAAATGATTTGCCTTTTCTTTAAGTAAAATGGGAGTGTCTTCTTTTAGGGGAACCCCCCAAACAGTGGGTTTGCCTTTTGGCTTCCAAACAACAAATGCCAAAAACGGGGTACCCTCAAAGAAGACACACCCAATTGTCTCCCCTCAGTCAGGTTCCATGTTGGACTGGAGGGTAGTTTTGTTTCCTCCAGCTTAGCCCTCCGTTGAAAGGTTGCAGCACTTGACCTCTTTGAGGCGTGCCTTCAAGTTCAGTTCAGACAATCTAAGAGGGTTTTCCCAACCATCCCAGGAAAATAGGGGGAGCATGCAACCACGTTGCAATCATGAATCAAGCTATACACACGGTTCTTCCTGGTAGTGGTTTGGGGGTAGTGGAGAAAGAAAGGAAGGTTTAGTTATGATGCCCTTTATGTTCAACCCCCTCGCCACGGCCCTCACATCCAAAGAAAATACCCTCACGGCGCCTCGGTTCATGCGCAGCTCCTCCTCCCGAAGAAAAGACGATTTGGACAATAATTCCTCTAGGCGATTAGGTCTGATTTCAACTTCGCAAAGAATCAAGGGGCACTTTCTGGTCGAGCCTTTTCGGGGGAAGTGCAACCTAAGTTGGGTTACCCCCTTTTACCCCGCGTTTACTCCCAAGACCCGAATGGCCCCATCGGCATTTGGATTGATTTCCAGTAGACTCTTGTTTCCTCTGATTCCGTGTTCGGAATTGGACACCAGCCATAGGGCCCGAAATTGACCATACATAAAAGAAACAACAAATAACTGTGTTATCGAGGTGGGCTGGAATCGACTATATTTCAAAGAGGTTTCGTTCGCGAGAAAGTGGCACCAGAGCGCAGTTGGACAGGTGAGGGGTTCCGTCCAAGTTTGAATCCATAGACATGCTCCAAAGTGGCTAGCTTCCCCCTGCTTCACTGACTTGCCGAGTTTACCGAAAGCGGAAACATGCAAATACCTTGCGGGTGTTGCCGAGAAATTAGATCACCATCACAAGGGGCAAGTGAGCATTGGTTTACTTCCATTTGCTTTCTCGCCCCCTGGAAAAAATGGAAAACATATTTCCAATATAGTGATAGATTCCCTTTACAACCAACAGGGAAAACAAGCAATGCTCTGAAGCAAATAGAAGTTTACTCACCCCTTAAAACTCCAAGCCCTGGGGAAGTTAATCTTTTACAGACATATAGCCCATGTTACCCAAAAAGTTGAAAAGTTGTGTTTTTAAGAGGTAAGTTTATGAGGCACTTAGCTTTGGTGTTGCAACCGCCACCGCCAACCGCCGGCCTTCCTCTTCGCCCACTTTGCCACCACGATGATTCTGGGTGAATTATAATATTTCACCAGCCTGAAATAAGGTAATTGGGGGGCTATTCCCCACATAAACATCATTTTGGCTGAGGTCGTGTGAGGTCGTTATAATTCACTCAGATGATTGGCTCATGCATCATTATCTTCGCTACTGTGGACGAAATCCATGCAACGCACCAGGAATGAGTTGCTTCCCCGGCAAATACCAACAAACAAGGATTTCTCCCAGTTTGCAAGTGGTGCGAACGGATTTCGTCCATCCACACGGGTCATACTGCTGCACTTGGAAGGTGGTTTACCCCGGTCATTGAGCTTCTATCCCAACTGGGCTGTCCTCAGATCCAGTCCAAGGCTTCACTTTTTAGGGGGTTCTCAGTTGCCCAAAGGACCTGCAACTAAAAGGTGAACCTTTTGGGTCCATGACTAATATGGACCAAAACGGAAAAACCAAAAGGTCACAAGGTCGGCTTTGAACAACTGAGGGTTCCATGGAAACCACAACTCATCGAACTCAACAGCTAAACAATGCCAAGGAACCGGAGGGCGGGAAACCGCCAAGCCCCAAGCCAGCTGCAGTGGATTTGGCACATCCGCAGGGCGAAGTCACTTCGAAACAAAGTTTGTGCCCTCGACTTCGGATTTCCTTTGAGGGAAACTCACCTTCGCCAGACTGATCCGCCTGCACAAAAATCAAGTGCCTGGTTAAAGGCTAGGTCCTCCAGTAGAGAGGCTAGAATGAGGGTATCCTTTTTCTGTCTACAGGGGGACCTAGAAGGGAAGATGAAGGAACATTATGTTTGAACCTCAAGCTCCCTTCGTCGTATCGCAACTTTCTATCTTTTGCCGATTCGTTCCGTTATTTCAAGTGTCGTACCTGTTTCAAGAAAACGGCCAGAAATATACGTTCCTCGCAGCTTTTGCATATACAAAAAATATATATAATCCTGGATTTATCCTCCAACATGATCGGTCGCTAAAAGGAGCACGCAGAAAGCAAAATGCAAAACGAGCGCAAACATCCGGAAAACGAGCGCATGTTTCCGCAAAAGAGCGCAAACTACAAAAACATAGCGATTGCTCGCCTTCTTCCGAACTGCTTGAAAAGCAAAACACCCTCTTTCTGAAGGACCACATGCTGTTCGAAGCATCGAGCAAAACCGCATGACTATACTTTCTCCCTTCCCCAGAGGGTCCCTTGGTACCTTCTAAGGAGGTACTGAACGACCTTTAAGACCAACAAGGAAAATGAGGAATCCTTAGGCAAATGAAAAAGAAACGCGCCAACAAAGTCTTCAAAGCTTCCAAAGATTCCACGCTTCCGTCGATCCCGCGCTTCCGCTTCCTTTGGGGCAGTCCTCGCCCCTGGCCGCGTTCACCGCCTCGAGGGCCGCGGAGACGTTGTGGTTCAGCAGCGCCGAGTAGAGGCGATGCGCGTGCTGCATGGCTCATGTCCGAGGAAAAAACGCGGGCCCCCGTTGTCTTCTCTTTTCGGGGCATGTGGCCAAGAAGGGCCTCGAATGATTCGCAGCTCCGAAAAGATGCGTGGCTCGTTGATCAGTTGCGAGATAGACTTTGACTGGACCACCCCCCGTTTTGTGGCATGGCAAGGTCGAATCTCTGCTTCGCGAAGGGAAAGGAACGGCGCAACGGCACTTGGTGCCGCTGGCTTGGGCTCAACATGAAAGCAACGCCGAAGCAAAACCGCCGTCACAGCCACGCAACGCAAAGCTGTCAGATCTCTTTCTGTGGGCTCCGCGAGGGCGAAGCCAAAGCCATGAACATCGCCATCCTTTCAACCGATCAATTGTCCCTTCCGAGTCGGATTTGGAAGAAATTGCTGCCTGACCCTAGGGCAGGCGGCTCTGAAATGTCGCCAGCCGAGACGGCTGGCGACTCTGCGAAATTCGTGCATAGTGATGGCGCCCAATTCCGCCATGCGCAGCTTTACACAGCACCTCCTGCAAATAACAAGCCTGGAGATGCCTGGGGCGCATGCGGGCGGATCAGGCATCCAATGCACAGCTTTTTGACAGTATGTACCAGGCAACTGGCCTATTCGTTCACGAGAAAAAGACACAAGCCGATGCGACACTCGCCTCCCTCAAAAGGCTTGTGCGCCAGCCGACCGCTACAGCCGACATGTTCAATTGGCAGAGATTGATACGGATTGATTGCAAAGGCGACCGATTTGCTCAGAAACCATTGCGGTTTTCCCGGCGCAGCCTTGTGATGGTCAGTGCAGGCTGTTCCCAGGCACAACCAATGAGCTGGCACGTGCCTCGTGCTTGAAACCTTTATACTGGCTCCGCATAGCGGAGTGAGCTGGAAATGTGGAAAGGGCCCGGCTCCTTGCAAGCATCCCGCCTCAACCTCAGATCCCCCGCTAAAAGTTTAACTTTTAGTGGGTTAAGTGGAAATCCCAACTCACCAAAAAGCTAAAAGGCTGAGGGGATGGCTGGGAGCCACCAAGTAATTACCTGCTGACTGGCGAAAGGGCTGGATCTCGGATCGGACCTGCAAGGCCTGGAAAAGCTTTGCCGCACAAATTTGCGTGCAGCAAAGAAGGAAACCAAGTGGTATGGGTCAAAACATGTCAAAACTAAACCACCAGGGGACCACAGGCTTTAGTCATTGTTTCCATTTACCAGGTTGCCATTTTGGGTACCTATATCTTTGACCCACAGCCAAGTGGTAAAGTGGTAACTGCCCCGGCTGAGCTCCGCATCAAGCCAGGGCAAACCTGACAACTTGATGGTCAGGTCCGGAAACACCAGCCTTACGCGAGCAGAGTGCGGCGCATACGGGCCATTGCGTCCGTCACTTGCTCTATGAACTCGGGGGTGCTGGTGCGGGACTTCATCGCCCAGCCGACCAAGGCTTGAAAGGTCATCCTCTGCATCATGTAGTCCTCAAGCAACAACCACATCCACACACACACACACACACGCCTAGGTCCTCCAGTAGAGAGGTTAGAATAGGGGTACCCGATTTTATTTTCAGGACGTCTATTCTAGCAGGGGAACCCTCCCAACCAAAAAGGGGTGAGAAAGGGCACCTAGCTGGGGGACCCAGACACACTCTCTCGCACCCCAGTTGCCCAGCTGCCAGCCCATCTCAACCACTGGCCGAGCATCAAACTTGGGCCAAGCTTTCCCGGGCACATTGGGCTCAGGTAGCTGCTGGCCCGCTGCCAAGTGCGCCTGCACTTCAAATCTCGGCGGAGCAAACCCAAAGGAAGCCTCGCCTTTGACAAGCCCCTCACATCGGTGGCCTTTTGGAAAAATGGCTGGGTTTCCCTGGTTGGGGCATAAACCCCATCTAACCCGGGTCCCGAACGGTACCTCATGAGGACGGCTTAAACCGGGGGGTTAAAAAAAAAATCGTTCAGTACCTTAGGTACCTACTTGGACCCTCTGAGTAAACCAAGGCCCTCGTTTTTTTGGAGCAAACCAAGTGCAAGGACGCTTCACGCGCCCTTGCCGAGCCCTGTGCCGAGGCTCCTGGTGGCGCAGGAGCGCAAGCAGCTCGGCAGCCTCGGAGATGAAGCCGTGAGTGCGCGCCTTGGCCTCACGGATGTCGACCCTCTACTAAAAAGGAGGTATTTACCATGGAAACCCAGGTCTTTCAACAAATACCCTAGAAGAAGTGGGTACTTGGAGTAGGGGGAAGATAGATGATAAAAACCTCTCCAAATCGCTCCCATGGCCGGGTACCCTTTTTTCTGTAGTCTAATTTAGTAGGGGAACCCTCTCTCAAAAAAGGCTGAGAAAGGGCACGATCCTGGGGGACCTAGACAAGCACTCTTTCACAGGTGGACGGCATGGATTCTAAAGGTCGGCAAACACCAAAGGCACCAGGTTTGCCCTTCACAACTTGGTTGCTGCAACGACCCCCCTGCAAAAAGTTTGACTCTTTGGGGGTTTAGTCGAAAACACAATTTTGATTTCAACCAAAAACATGTCTTGTCTAAAGATCCGTTGCCCAATAGCAATCAAGACAAATGCCCAATGCCAAGGGCCACCAGCCAACGGTGCCAGCCTCCAGGTAGCGCAACAGTAGCGCGATGAGCTGGGGCTCCGAAAAGCCGTTCACAAGCTCGCGCTGCCTGGCGCGAGCTCCAAGCAAGCCCCACCCCACTTAGATGGTCTGGGACGAATCGCTAAATGGCTACCTGGAGTCTCCTTCTGACCCGAAATAAAAATAAGTCCATGACCCCGTTCTTTAGGGTAATGACCAACCATTTTTAGAGGGTCATGGAGACTCTAGGTAGTAACCCCGGTTGTAACCCACCAAAAGCAATGGTAAGTCCCCTGGAACCAGGGCAAAGCTAGCCATTTAGCGATTTGTCCCAGACCATCTAAGCACCCCTCGAGCCGTCAGCTAGCCGCCGGCCTCTTGTCCAAGTGGGTGGGTCGCTGGTCGTGGGGCAGGTGGCAGTAGTCACACTGGGCGCCGTTGCTGCAGGCGCCAGCCACGAAGTACCTCGGTTGCTTTCTGCTCCCCTGCTTTAAAAAAAAGAAAGAAACAATCTTTTGGTGGTTTAATGGCAACTACCAGTGGGTTTAGCTTTAGTATTTAGTGGGCTTAACTACAAG